CATTTTGGCCTAGTGGTAGGCATGAATAATATCCACACGGACCACACCTAAGTCCGAAGCAAACTACCTAACACATGCATGATCGTCAATGCGATCGTCAATGCTTCGAGGACGAAAGTTTGCCTGTAAAATAAAAACACTGATGCTGAGGATTAAAGAAGAAACACACAACATTAAGAAATAATAATAATTAATAAATACATTTGAAAATTGGGTAAAACATTTGAAGCAATATCCATATTTTTTTTCTTGGCAATATTGTATTTTAATAAAGTGAAGTATAATAATTAATATGTCCATTGAAAGGCTTATTTCAGTATAACCAGACCCACATTTCAATTGTTGCTCTCATAATATATGCAAGGTAAACAATAAATAAATGTTTATTTATATATATATGTATATAGTATGTAACATAAACGCAAACGAGTAAATGTAAAGGTTTCGTGGTGTAGTTGGTTATCACGTCAGTCTAACACACTGAAGGTCTCCGGTTCGAGCCCGGGCGAAGCCAAGACTGAGAAATTATTTTTGGAAATAATTTTCTTTTATAGAATTAAATGTTCCAAATTTGATGTTACACAAAATAATATTTTTTTTATTTAAATATCTAATGAGGTAAATAATTTTGTATAATATTTGAGAACTTATACTATCTTGAATATCTATTATTTTTTTCAATATAAAAACTAGGTGTTTATGTGTTATAGTCTTATAGACATTAAAAAACAAATTGTTGAATATAAGGATACGTGTACTGTTTAAATTACGGAAAGGTAAGTGTTACAAATGATATAGTACAAGGGGCAAGATGTCAAGATGTAAATTATCTTTTATCTTATTGAGGCACACTCTAATATATAAACTATGGGTGAAAATCAGAAGAACTAGAAATTGAAATTTCGCAGATTCCAATATGATTTTTTATTATTTATTTTGGAATAATATTTCATTCTGAATTTCGAAAGTTCAATTTTTTATTTTTCTATTTTTTTTGTATATATATATATATATATATATATATATATATATATATATATATATCTTCTGACTTTCGATTAATTTCAGCATCCGAAAATTCCGACTTTTTTTCTTCAAAATTACACTTATTATATCAATATTGTTATACATTTGTATTAAAAGTGCCCAACTAATAATGGTAATAATAATAATATACTACCAAGTAATGAATTATAATTGCTTTACTTCACATCTGTAACTAGCTAGCCAGGTATATAAATAATTTGTGTGGAATTGTAAATTCAGTGGGTAAAAAAAAAAATATTAGTGGACGGTTGTTATATGGCAACAACTTTTGCAGCAAGTATGGAAGGTACAGTCACATGTAATATACCTCATCGAATAATAACTACTCTATATATATCTCATATATATATACTCTATACACACACACACACACATCTCTAGTTCTCTACTAACCTACGTACATACATATATCATGATATGCATGTATGTATATATGCATATATATATATATATGTGTGTGTAGCTAACTTGTACTGATGTGAAGGTGAAGGCGGAAATAAGGGGAGAGAATTAGGCGCTCCAGTACTTCTCCAACACTAGTTATACGAATCGATCACATATATTATAATATATATATTTTGGAAGATCGACGAGATTGAAGAGAGAGTTGGTCCGTACAGAGCGCCATTCCATTGTGCGAGGGTTGCATGCATGCATTCATGCCGTCTCGATCAACACATGCAGATCGAGAACTCTCTCTCTCTCTCTCTCTCTCTCTCTCTCTCTCTCTCTCTCTCTCTCTCTCTCTCTCTCTCTGTGTTTGTGTTGTCGTCTTTGGCAACTCTGGCACGATGGAATGGCTCTGTGTTCGCATCAACTTTCTCTTCAATCCTGGTCTTCCTTAATTAGTCTTCGTCATAAATTGCTTTTCGTTTTAGTTTTTTTTTTCCTGATCATGAAGTGATCTAGTAATTTGAAGAAGTGGAAGATCTCGAGGACGTGAACAAAATTTTGTAAATTTTTTTTTTGAGATGTATGCGGAATGTCGTTTTAATTTGATGGATTCGAAGTTATCTTTTTTCCTCTATATATCATCATCATTTTAGCATTGAGAAAATATTTTAACTAATTAATACATCCATCTTTTTTTGTGGTTGGCATATATGAAGTATCCTATTTTTATGTAATATGTGATTAATAAAGTACAATATGTCCATTAAAAGGCTATATATTATTAGTTTTTAGTACTTGTGAAATAGAAAAGGGTATATATATGGTATTGAACTAACTCATTTACACATATGCATGGTGCTTAATTAATTAATTTGCAACAAACTCTCAAAACACCGGTGGTGGTGGCGGTGGTGGTGGTACGGTACGGTGGATGAATGATGATGCTTGTACGTCGGAGTTGTTGGAATGGGGCCAGAGTACGTAAAATATATATAACTAGTAATACACCCGTGCGATGCACGGTGAATATTATGATAATTGTTTCGTCATATTGGAACACATAATCGAGTACATAGAGAAAAAATAATTCTAACAAATTTAGAAAAAAATATGGTTTTTTTATTGTCAATATATATATATATATATATATATATATATATGGAGTGAATATTAATAGTGATCGTTAAACAAATATGATGAACATTTTTCAATGATATTTGAAAAAAATTGCAACTGAAACTGAAAATCTAGAAAGACAACATAAATAAAATTAACATAGCAACCACATAAATAAAAATCTTGAAACATACACCCAGATAAAGGTGTTCTTAAAATGAAAACACCACAATAGTTAATGTTATTGTATTGCCGCCAACAATACAATAATGTGGTAGACCATTATGTCATGGTTTCTCCGTTTTGATCCTCTTATATGACTTGGTAGTTGACATTTTTGTAGTTTCATCATAGGATAGATTAGAAGACGCAGATTCTACACCAAGTCCTTTACCACGCAATTTAATGATTGGTGTCGCCTTATCATGAGGATCGGTGAAATCCTACAAAATTTATTAAAGGAGGGTAGATGTTATTGATATGTGTATAAATGATAGAAATAATTGTTGTGTTATAAATAATTCTTACATTTAAGTTGTTGTTGCCAAGTTCTTTACCACGTAATTTACTGATTGGTGTCGTCTCAACCTCGGGTTCGACAAAATCCTACAAATATTATTGGAGGAAGGTAGATTTCATTAACTTGTGTATAAATGAAAATAATAGTTGGGTTATAAACAACTCTTACATCCAAATTGTCGCCTTGCCGTTGAGCATTGTTGTTGGATGAGTGATCATCCTCATCAACAAATTCCTGTATTTAACAAAAATTAATATAATTTTATGATGCAACATATAAACTATATTTGTGGACTTATACCTCGATAGAATGCATAGCACGAAACTGTCGAATAAGTTCTTGTTCACCCGTCATTGTTTTTACAGTATAAACTGACCAACTTTTTGATATGTTCATCGCACTAATTTCGACTTTGAACAGAAATTATTTGTTGATGAATGATAGGGATGGCGATGTACAATTATATATCTAATTGTCCTCGTGATCAATGTTTTCATTTTGAAATTTTAAGTACATGTCTCACTTGGCATGATTAAGGACGAATATTTAATCGCAGTTAGAGTAGGGATTAAAAACGAATAATGGTAAAAATATTTTTACATCTTCGGTAAAAAATTATATTGGATTCATACTACGTAAACACACGAAAATAAACAGCAAGGTTTCGTGGTGTAGTTGGTTATCACGTCAGTCTAACACACTGAAGGTCTCCGGTTCGAGCCCGGGCGAAGCCAATAATTATAGTTATTTTGGGATATGTTTTAATTTTCTGTTTAATAATAATTCCATAAATTAATAAGTTATTTTTTTTAATTCCAGTTTTTTCGGAAAGGGACAAACTGACCCAATTGTTATCCAAAAATTCTTATAAGCTAACAATCAGAATGGAAAAACTTGTTCTAAATTAAAAAAAATAAAAAAAATCGGATCAAAATCGATGGGAAAATGGAATTACGTCTCTTTATCCTTTATCCATGCTAAAATATAAGATAAAAATATTGTTGATATTATTATAATTTCAATTTAGATCGAGAAAATGTGAAAAATATAAAAAATAAAAATTAGGATTATAGAAATTGGAATGAAACCCGAAAATATTATCTTAATTCTTAAGGACATTTTTTTTTTTTGCAACCCTTTGTCGATTTCTCGTGGTTTTATATTTACTACAATTTTCGGCCAACAAGTAACTGCAATTCTTATCTGATTATTGGCACATATTTATTTACCCCAACAACCAATCCTTGAACAATCAGTGTTGTCAGATTCATGTTATTTTAACCTAAGTTTTAATTTATATATACGTGAAAAAATAAACTCATAGTGTTTAATTTATTGAAGAATTCATGTATTGTGTCTCGTTTGTGACATTGAGCAGTCTCATGGCGCTCATATAAATTCTGGAAATTATGAATTATTGAATTGAAAGAAGCTTCAATAGTAAGCTGAATTCATACAATAGTTGAAATTATTTGAAAATTCATGGAAGCTTTCGAAGCCTTTTAAAAATGTTAAAACGATCATTTGATTTCCGAAATTCCGAAATTTCCATAGCTTCTGGAATAGGAATTAATTTTGAACTTCCGAGAAAGAAAAAGAAAATTTTCCTAAAAAGGTTAGTGTCAATCTGTTCCATCCGACTTTCATCCCTAATTTCATATATCACGCAATTATCTGTTTTTTTTTTTTTTCCTTTTGATGTGTGAAAGAAAATGGGAACAATTTATTAAGGAAGGTTGTTATGTAACTTTTGCAGCAATACAATTCACATGTCAATTAAACCTAATTTTTGCAGCAATAATGCATGCATGGTCCACTGCACTACACTTCACATGTGAATTCATCATCCAACAATAAAGCCACACACATATACATACATAACATGTGTACATTATTTGTGTGTATATATATGAAATCAAATGTGAAAGAAATCATTCTGTGAAAATGGAAGCACCGAAAACTAAAAAAAAAACAAAAAAAAAAAAAAGAAGAAGAAGAAAAAGTGGCTTTGACAATGGAATGGCTCTCTGTAATAAAAAAAATCCGAGGTCGGCCATTGATCCAAGTAAGCAAGAACCTCCCTTTATCTTAATTATTTTCAGTTATAAGTAATTAATTATATAAATAGATAGATTAATATTAATTATTGTTTAATTAATTTAATTTGTTGTCACAAATTAAACAGGCATGGCAGGAGTAGCAGGTACATATGTCTTGGACTTAAACGAAGTCTAAGCATGGGTGGCTTGCAATGTAAACTATATTTGCGGAGAGGATTCTTCAGTTCATCGACAAATATTGATCCTCTACAAGAGCACTCGGATCATGAGATACGAGAGGTTTTCTTGCAATCCGACAGGAATTTTACGCAAATATTCCCGCTGAGAGTGTGACGCAAGGATGAAACATTGGAAAATTAAATATAATAGCCACCACATATGTATGAATGTATAGGGTAATTGGTTTGCGAACATTATTTATTTCATTTTGTTAATGCAAATTAATACAAAAACTAATTAAACTTGTTTTTTTTCTCACATGCACATATACATACAAACACATATATATATATCTATATGTATATATATATATATATATATATATATATATATATATATATATATATATATATATATATATATATATATATATATAATCCTTCTCAACAACTGATCGACACAGCCGATTAATAATACAGTTTTACAGACAAAACGAGACAATGGCGTTTACCGTGCCTCTCGATTTATAGATAATATTACTCTATAGTTTTCATTCATCTCTTACGAAGGATCGATCACAATTTAAATGTAAAAAACCCTAGCTAGTAGTTGCGGAAAATGGAACGATTCGATACAAGGAAAGAATATTAATAATTCGTCGATCTCACTTGGGATCCGAGAAGAAGCCATTGATGGTTGGCATGACCTCCGGTCGCCTGCCCCGTGGGTACTTTCTAAGGCCATGCTCCGCATATTTCTCTCCCTCTTCGTAGTTTTCAAGTACACATGCACCTCTTTTCTCCTTCAAAACCCTAATATATGTATATACACATTAATTATCCAAAACAAAGGTGTTAGTTCATAAATTATTTATTGGTAAACAATAAATAAATGTTTATTTGTATATAAATTGTATATAACGTAAACGCAAAGATGTAAACGCAACGGTTTCGTGGTGTAGTTGGTTATCACGTCAGTCTAACACACTGAAGGTCTCCGGTTCGAACCCGGGCGAAGCCACTTAAATTAATTATTTTACATATTTTTTTATTTAAGTTTTGGGCTTATGGGGATAATTTGTAACCCCAAAAAAAAGGATCTTGTAAGAACTTGGTCTGGGCCTTAACGCACTACTATAATACGAATTATTTGTTTTTTGTTTTTAAATGCAAGAATTATTATTTATGATAAGAGTGAGATGTGACGTAGTTATTGATGTCAACTGCCATGCTACCTACAAAAAAGTGGCACAATTGTGTACATTTTCACAACATTTTTTTTAAGGGGTAATATGACAAAACTCCCTCATTGCAACCCTCTCTTTACGAGGAGTCCAAAAAAAAATTCAATTTTTAAGTTAAATCCAAAATATTCTTAATTAATAAAAATTAATACAATTTCACAATTATACCCTTTTTTATATCTCACCCAAACCCTAGATCTTATACTCATATCTTCTCTCTCCCTTCTCTATTTTTGCCGTTTTGATTTCTCTACCGCTGCAACAAATCCTTTTCTGCATCTCCTTCACCAACCCCGCACTCTCTTTCCCAACCCCACACTCTCTCTTTTTCTCCCTCCGGTCGACCACCATTCGCACACCAGGGTTCGCGCGAAATTGAAGAAGACAACATAGGTGAAATTGGGAATAAAATTGCTGGGGGGACAATAAATTGAAGCTTAAACAAGGTGATTCGCGAGAAATTCTCGATTTTTTCACGAGAATGCAGTTGAGTAGTTCTGATTTCTTTTATGTTATGGATATTAATGACAAAGGGTGTTTGAGGAATGTATTTTGGGCAGAACGAGGTGTAGGGCAGCCTATGGTTATTTTGGAGATGTTGTGTTTTTCGATACTAAATCTTTGACTGAAAATTACGAGGTTCCGTTGGTTGTATTTGCTTGCATCAATCACCACATGCCGATGGTGTCGTTAGGTTTTCTTAGTAGTGGATTTCGTTGATAGTAGATTTTAATTTAATGATTCTTGGTCATGGGAATTTGTAATTAAACGGAGTGGTTTTCATGTTTACGTAGATGTTATACAAAGTGGTTTTCATGTGTGACATAGTTGTTATACAGAGTAGTTTTCGTGTTTATATAGAGTGATTTTTATAGAGTGATTTATATAGCGTGATTTTTATGTTTACATAGTTGTTATAGAGAGTGGTTTTCAAGTTTACATAGTTGTTATACAGAGTGGTTTTCATTTTACATGGTTGTTATATAAAGTGGTTTTCATGTTTATATAGGTGTTTATACAGAGTGGTTTTCGTGTTGATATAGAGTGGTTTTTATTTAAAAAAAACTGAAAAGAAAATAAAAAACACCATTTTTAAAAAAAAATCGAAATTAAGAATAAAAACCATGAAAACCCGAAAATAAAACTAAAACAATTTTTTTAAATTAAAATAAAAAACATGGAAAATATAAATAAGAAAAAAATTAATTAAAATAAAAAACTGAAAATAAGAAAACTTAAAAAAAATTACAAAATTTTCTTTTAAATCGAAATAAAGAAAACCATTAAACAAAATAAAAATAAAAAAAAAGGAAAAAAAACTGAATTGGCGTGATGAGGGGAATAATTTTTGGAGAAGATTTGAATGTAGATTATGGGTATAATTTTTTCAAATTAAATAATTATACTAATTAATAATTAGTGGGGGCATATATGGTTTTTCAGGTCCATTGGATTTATCTCAAATATCATTTATAAATAAAGGATTTATCAAGAATTAAAATTCCAATGAAGGGTGTTTGGCATATAGCCCCTTTTTTTAATTATTATTGCTATTATAAAAATCTATATAAATAAAATTTCCGTAGAACACATTTAATAAACCTACATCCTACATGATAAAATTAATCAAAAGCAAAGAAAAATGTTTGTTCTTTATTGCAAAGTATCTTTTAAGTAGTATAATTAATGATAACTGTCATTAATAACACTAATTGTCTTTTCGTGTAATCCAAAAAACAAAACACCAAATCTAACTCATATTTTTTTATTTTTAATCCTACTCATCAACTAGAGGTGTTTAATGTTTAAAAATAATTTTATGATACATGTTGTATTCTATAAGTTAATTTATGATATATCATATATTTTATATCAAAATTATGAGATATCAAATTAGGCCCAAGTAAATTATGGCGAGTTCGTCTCGTACACACCTCTATATTGAACTGCGTACGTTGTTCTTACATGTGTTTTACATTGTGTTTTATTGAACTCGTTTTGGATTTATTGCATTTTGCTGAAAACTTTTGAAAGAAAAATAGAAAAAAAAAATATGTAACTTCCTATTATATCCGAAATGGAACAAGAAATCATGAGTTAATTCAGTTTCCAATATTTTAATATTCTGTTGATTCCAAAGCATTCTGAAATAAGAATGAATTTTTAAATTCTAATTTTTTTTTGGAACGATTAAAAATTTAAAACCCATTTTTAACTTCTGATTTATAGAAAAAAAGAAAATCGGAAAAAAAAACTATTTCAGATGCGTTCCTTCCGACTTCCACCCCTATATAAGATTGTATGTTAAAAAATAAAAATCATAAAATACTAATATTTATAACATGAAGAGTTGTTTAGCAATTAAATATAAGTTATGGCTACCAGATACAAGCATGAACTAAGGTTTTTAGAATGTTCTTTGGAATATTCCAATAAAGAAACCATTATTTCCAGTAATTACAGAATTGACCATTGCTTGTTTTCCAAGCATACACATTACAATTGTGACTATTTACCTTAGAACCCCAACCATAACAAGTACACATCAATGCAAATATCAATTGTAAATTTTTTTAATAAACTAAATAAATTTGTTGAAATCATTTTTTCCCCTTTTAATTTTTCTTTTTAATCTTTTCTTATTTCCCAAGAAACAAATATATTAATTTCCATGTAAAGTGTATGTAGAAAACCGCTGATTTGCCACCACCGGTTTTCGCAAAACCGGCTGTAGAATCCCCTTTAAATACCGGCCCAACTTCCAGTTTCTCTCCACACTGTACTCTCTCTCTCTCTCTCACTCAACCAATTTCTCTCTCGCACGCAGTTTCTCTCACTACATTTTCGTCTCTCTGAACTAATGGCGAAGATCAAAATCGGAATCAACGGTACAATCATCTTCCCCTAATAATTCTGAATTCATTCTCGCGTTTCCATAATCAATTTTTTTTTAATTGGAAATCGGTTGAAATTCATTCGATCTGTCACTGTCACTGGTTTCGCCTTCTTCCTTGTGCGATTTCATCGCCGTTTCCGATGTGATTTTTTAGGTTTTATTTAAAAAAAATCAAAACTTTTTTTTTTGTATATGTGTAGGATTTGGCAGGATCGGTCGTTTGGTTGCAAGAGTTGCTCTGCAGAGGGATGATGTTGAGCTTGTTGCCATCAATGATCCGTTCATTGCCACCGATTACATGGTAATTTTATTTTTTTTCATTTATGTGAATCGAATTATATGTATAAATAATGAATTTACTGTGTGTGTATGTGTGATCTAATTTAAATTGTTTGTAAAAAAAAAAATCTACGGCAGACATATATGTTCAAGTATGACACTGTTCACGGGCCATGGAAGCATCACGAGGTGAAGGTGAAGGATGAAAAGAATCTTTTATTTGGTGATAAACCAGTCAGAGTGTTTGGTTTCAGGTATTAATTGATTTTCCCCTTTTAGGATCTGTATTTTGGTATTTTGATCTATGAATGAAATTAAAAGAGAAATTAGGGTTTTACTGAATTTTTTTTTTATTTTTTTGGGGGGAATTTATAGGAACCCTGAGGAGATTCCATGGGCTGAAGCTGGTGCTGAGTTTGTTGTTGAATCTACTGGAGTCTTCACAGACAAGGACAAGGCTGCTGCCCACTTGAAGGTCACACTTCTTTCCGATTTACGTCACCGTCTTTTTTTTTCGCATCAGTTATTATGTTACGAATTGTTGATCTCTGGTTTATTTTACTTCAATTTGCTACTTAATGTCTATTTGTCTGAAATTGCGTTAATTCTTTGTCATTTGTGACATAGGTACAGATAGTTACTTAGGGCATTTGATTTGAATAGTTATGTATGAAGCTCTTCTTGTTTTTAGTTATTGATTGTTCTATGTTTGTTGATGATCTAAAAAAAAAAAAAAACAGGGTGGTGCTAAGAAGGTTGTGATCTCAGCCCCGAGCAAAGATGCCCCGATGTTTGTTGTGGGTGTGAATGAGAAGGAATACAAGTCTGATCTAGACATTGTTTCCAATGCTAGTTGCACAACCAATTGCCTTGCTCCATTAGCCAAGGTTTGATGAACCATTTTCTCTTACATCTCAACTAAAAAAAATCTATATATATCAATTATCTACGATTTTGTGTTGGCTAATAAGTGTATTTGTTTAAATTCTTTCAGGTCATTAATGATAGGTTCGGTATTGTCGAGGGCCTCATGACCACCGTTCACGCCATGACCGGTGAGTTTAACTGCCCCCCTTTGCTTATATGTATTTTTTTAATCTGAAAAACAGAGTTTTTTTTATCAGAATTCTTGATGCTGTTTTGTGTGTATGTATAGCCACTCAAAAGACGGTTGACGGTCCATCGATGAAGGACTGGAGAGGTGGAAGAGCTGCCTCATTCAACATCATCCCCAGCAGCACTGGAGCTGCCAAGGTATTATATATTTATATCTTTAATATTTATATTCAGCATTTGATTGTAATAAAATGATGCAATTTTCTATTTCTTTTCTGATTTGTTTGTCTTAATTGATAGGCTGTTGGTAAAGTGCTTCCAGCACTAAACGGCAAGTTGACCGGGATGGCATTCCGAGTGCCGACAGTTGATGTTTCCGTTGTTGACTTGACTGTGAGGCTCGAGAAGGAGGCTACCTATGAGGAGATCAAAGCTGCCATCAAGTGAGTTTGGTTTTTCAAACTAGCTAACCATGGTTTAACGTTTAACTATGATTACGGTTTGTCTAATTTATGCTTGCCCGTTTATCTCAGAGAGGAGTCGGAGAACAAGCTAAAGGGCATCTTGGGTTACACCGAAGATGATGTGGTGTCCACAGACTTCATCGGTGATAGCCGGTAAATGACAGTTTGACCTTGAGTACCCTTTGTCCTTTAGCCATTTATTAGTGTTTCGAATCTAAATAATCTGATGTGGATCCTACTCGATTTTGTGTGCAGGTCAAGCATTTTCGATGCCAAGGCTGGAATCGCGTTGAGCAAGAACTTTGTGAAACTTGTGTCGTGGTATGATAACGAATGGGGATACAGGTAATATAAAAATTCACAAAAATCTAATCTTTTGTTACATAAAATAATTCAATCGAGTATATATATATATATACGAAAATGATGACATAATGTTATGTATTACTGCAGCTCACGAGTGATCGATTTGATCGTGCACATGGCTTCTGTTGCATGAAGAGCTTTACGAGAGAAAATCGTTCCCTTTCGTATACTATTTAAGTTTTTTTGTTTTTTTGTTTGAGTAGAGAAAAGCACTTGTCTAACTTATGGCCCTTGTGGGGGTTTTACTTTGAAAGAATGGGAATCTGGAATAAGTTGTTACTGCACAGCTTTGGCTCTGCAGTTTTTTTTTAAATAATATTTGGTATGGATTTTCCTTTCAATATCAAGATTTAGATCCTTTTCAGTATTAAGATTCAATTATGTTTATTACTTTTCTTAATGTCTTCTGAAAATTATTTTGTATAATGTTTAATTATTTCACAAGTAATGTTGATTTGATATATTAAAATTATAAAGTAATATTTATTTTTCAATAAATGAATATGCCTACTACATTATTATTATTACTGTTATCATTTCATCTATATGAATACGACAAATACTAATTTGTTTACAATAACTTCAACAAATAATAAATTTTAACAATTAACTAAAAAAAAATCTACTAAATATTGTTGGATAGTGATTAAAAAAGAGACAGCAATGTTTTAAAAATTGGATCGGACAACCTCTCTCGCCGTATCTTTATATATAAAAGAAAGGTTTTCCCCGAAACCCTAAAAAAATAGTTTTTAAGGATTTCTAAACAAATCCCTTTATTTTCTCCTTTATTTTCTCCTCTTCTATGTATGTTCCATTTTTTTTATACTTTTCTGCACGATCGGAAGATTTGCCCATTTCTCCTCTTTTATCGCATGATGGGAAATTTTTTTATTTCACGTTTTTTTGATATATAATTCATTATATTTGTTTTATGCCTTTTTTTTTTACTTTGAAATAGTTTTTATTTCACGTTTCTTCTCTTTTTTTTGAATAATTATTTTTTTATTTTTTTTCCTTCCCCACTAATCACGATCGATTAACTGTCATTTTTTTTGTTTCTTCTTTTTTCATTTGCTTTTCTAAGAGCAACTCCAATGGAGGCACTAAATGAGGTATCAAACTAAAAAACTACCACTTTGATGCTCTAAAATTAAAAAATCCTCCTCCAATGGAGGCATTAAATGGAGAATTATTTTGATACTCAACCACCCCGAGGTGCAAAAATACTCCCTGGAAAATGAGGTATCAAAAATATAACCACCCAATTAACCTATCACTATTAGACACGTGGCATTTAAAAATATAATTATTTATATATTTAAAATTTGATAATCTATTTGATACTTGTGGTTGGAGCGAATTTTTTTTCAAGAAGTATCAAAGTATTATATCAAGTATCAAATGAATATTTAATGCTCCATTTTGATATCTCCCATTGGAGTTGCTCTAAGAGCAACTCCAATGCTAGATATTAAAATTGAGTTATCAAATAGTCATTTGATATTTGAAAATTATTTTAATATTGATTTAAAATTCATTTACTCCAACCATAGTTATCAAATTAATTATCAATTGGAAGTTTATGGGTGGTTTTATCCGTAATTGCCACGTGTCAACTTTTGATTGGGTGTTTAGGAGGTTACATTTTTGATAACTCAATTTCCAGCAAGTATTTTTACAACCCAAAAGGTGAATTATCAAAATTGAAACCTCATTTGATAACCCCATTGGAGTTAAAGATTTCCAATTTTAAGTTTGTAAATGGGAGTTAAATGTTTGAATACTCTATTTGATAATCCCATTGGAGTTGCTCTAACTGCCCCACTTTTCTCCATCTTAACCCATAAAATTTTCTATATATACATGTTACCAAGAACATCAAAGAACACTGTAGCTGTATAGAGAATATTATTATTATTTGTTTTGTCCTATCTTTCATCACATCAATAATCTTCACGGTGAGAAAGTATATATTTTTGTCTTTGTTCACAATTCAATTATGTCATTTGTTCTTCGTTTTCTTAACATTCTTTATTACGCTAAAAATTTTAATTGTACCGATTACCCTGAAGACATTGACCTTCAAGGATCCCCAAAATTCTGAGATCTAATAGCAATTTCCAGACATGGAGCCTAAGCTATTCAAGGTTTTCTGCTATTTCCTTTGATTTACCTATGTGCTTGAGTTGGTTTTTTTTTTTTTTTTTTTTGGCATTTAACCGTCTAATTTGGGTCTTGCTTCTTATGATTGTATTGTCAGTGCCCATGTTGTTTAACCTACGCCTTGCTGAAAATCACCATGAAATTCATTTTTTTGTGCTCCAATATTGAAATAAATCAACCTCAGAGACCAGAGTCACATGATTTCTGTGATAACTATATTATACATTCTAAAATGAGATTCAAGTTTCAACCAAATATAGTTGTTCATCATCATAGAATAAAAAATCTGTTGTGTGTGTTTTCAAGTTTATGTTATTTGTTGCTGAAGAGTGATTTAATTAATATATTCAAAATTTTGTTCATGTTGTGCTTTTGAGTTTTAGACTTATGGATGACTTCACTTTAGTTTCTATCGATTTTTATGATGTGGAGGAGCCGCGCTGGGAATAGCTATGTGTTTCTCTTTTTTTGATGTTTCGTATCAAAGACTTTAATTCTAATATGTTACTCTCTGGGTATGATTTCATTTTTTTTTCTTTTTCGGTACATGAGAAAAATGAATTTAGCAAATAAAATTAAGAAATAAAATTCCTTTTCTTTGAATCCATTTCTGATGCTTCAGTTTGGGAAAAATAAAATTAAGAAATGAATTATTATCATGTTATTGAAATTACACTATTACAGTATACGTGTGTGTTTTACCTGGTTTTTTACTGGATGAAGTGCTATTTTAAATTTGATAATTGTTTTTTTTCTTTTCTTCTTTATCAATCAAAAGATGATTCAGTTCAAAATGGGAGGAAATCAGAATATGCTGCCTCTAGAAAACTATGCCAGGGAATTAAAACTTAAAACATGAGGTATGTGTATGTATTTAATTTTAAATATTTTCGTTGGTAGTTTTTTTGTTTCCAATTTTTATGAAGCGGTTTACAGATTTATTTTTTTATTCAGTTTTTTATTTCACTTAGATGCAAAAAAAAAAAAAAAAAAAAGACTTTCGCTCATACATGTTCTTCCAGTTTTAGCCAGTTATTTTTGTGTTCATCGGCAAGTTTCTGTCACATCTTGCTCCTTCCTGCAGACGTTTCTTTATAAATTCCATTACAGAGAAAGAAGTAGCAGATCTCATGCGATAAATATGGCAATGAGTTTTGAGAGATATTGGAGTGCATTTCATACGATTGTGTTAAGAGTAGTTATTTAACGGAGTTCATTTTAATCTGTTCGTTCCTTTGAAAAAGTCATTTGCTAACTTTTTCAATGCGAAGAAATTTCCTTCCAAGATCAATTGCTTGAACAATGTCAAATTATTTCCAGCTGTTTCCTTATTGATTTCTCATGAGTGTTCCTTTTATTTATTTATGTTTTTATTTTATTTCTTAAGTGTGTAAATTTTCTTGGATTACAGGTTTTCCCAGCCAACCATCTTTCCCAGGTTTGTAGAATATCTATTGTCCAAAGCTTGAAGATACAATAGTTGTTTGAGGCCAGTCATTTTTCCCAGGTTTGTAGAATATTTGTTTTCGTGGTGGAATTGAGTGAATTCGAATATTTAATTTTGCATATTTTACGTGAGTTTTGCTGGGATGGTATGGTTAATATTGGATTTTAATAGTTTGTCAAGATGAGTGTGCAGTTTTGGGATTTTAATAGCATTTTGACTTGATAATTTTGATATCTTTGGTTGGACAGGAGCACCATGGCAATCTCAATGAAAGCTGTAAATGCACATTTCATTGAGAGGATAGGAACATGTCAGTAATTCGGTATGTCATTCTAAATGTTCCCTTTTTCATCTTTATATATAAAGGAAAGGTTTTCCCCTATGGTTTTATTTTTTATTTTTTATTTTTTATTTTTTATTTTTAAATGCATGCTCGAGATTTTACAGACATTGCTATTACAAGTAAAGATCTAGACACTGCTATTACAAGTAAAGATCTTACAGTAATACGTCTTTATAATTTAGTTGTACAAGCTTCTATTTGTGTATTGTAACTATGAGGCAAAAATGTATCTATGGATTTATTTTCTTTATTGTTTTGTTGATTTTGTGATTGTATTATTGCGATATTTGTTTTGCGTACATTAAGCAGAAACAGAAGAATGCATCTTCTTTCTTTACAAATTAGCGTATCTCTTCTTTTGCTGACTCGACTGGTTGGATGTATCTCGATCTCTTTGGAGCACGGAGATATTAACTTTGTAGCACATCTCGATCTCTTTGGAGCACGAAGATATAAACTTTGTAGCACTTCTTTTATTATTTAATACTGGATGGATAGTAAAACTAATAATAATAGTATGTTGGTTCTCTTTTTTTCCCTGAGTATATAGATATATGTAAATTAGATTCAAGTTCTAAACTTGATATATACATTATGATGGCAATTAGTGGAGTTTTTACACTTTGGTTTTTCTAATGTATTATTTTAAACATGACATTTATCAATTTTGTGTTTTTTTTTTTTTTTTTTATCATTTATTTATGTCTATTTTTATTTTTAATTTCAATACGCGGCCGTGCAACGCACGGGCCAAATTACTAGTAGGGTGTTAATTTCAAATCCTCTTGCCAACGATTGCTAGGTGAAGCTTGTCACACATGGTTGGTTAGCCTAGTGTGGTTTACCTCTCTCGTATGGTTTGCAAGCTATTATACGAGACTGTAAGTTTACCCAGTGCACATATATGGTTGGTTGCGGATTCCTTTATTAAAAAAATAAATAAAAAATTCAAAGAGGAGCGTAAATATTTTTTAGTTTGTGTTCGTCTCTACTAGTCTTCATTTTTCTTCTCCCTTTGCATAAACCGGTTCATTGGCAGTTGACCCGGTTTTTCTGGAGTACGGGCTTTGAAGTCGACTCGGATCGGACCAGTCACCTTCCGGTTTTGAGAACTGTGAAAATGAGTAGCTAAAACATTGTAAAATAAGATAGAATTACACTTTTCGTCCTTCATGTTTCAGCCAATTCCACTTTTGATCCCCGTTGTTCCAAAGTGTATAGGATACACCTTAAAAGTTTAATTCTAAATACATTTGGTCATAATTAGTACTTTAAAATTTTAAATATTTTTTAGCCCCAAAACAATATTAAATTGCATTTTTAACCCCAAAATAGTGTTTTCCGAGCAACTCGAGGAATTAAATGGAGTATCAAATGATAAAACTCCCATTTTGATACCTTAAATACACAAATCACACTTCAATGGAGCCACTAAATTAGTAGGTTTTTTTTTTTTTTATACTTCATGTCATTGAGTTGCAAACATGCACCCGAGAAAACAAAGAATCAAATATTTCTTAATATTAAGAACCACAATTTTAACCGGGCAAAAAATAAAAATCTCAACAAATTGCTACATAATAGAGAATAATATGGGTTGGAACACAAGAATATTATATCAAGTATCAATTTGATAGTCCATTTTAATGCCTACTCATTGGAGTTGTTCTACTAAACCTCATGTGACGGGGACCAAATGTGTTTAAAATTGAACTTAGGAGGTCTATTTTGTACAGATTAAAACAATGGGGACCAAAAATGGAATCAGGTGAAAAATGAAGGGTGAAAAGTATAATTCTCCCGTAAATAATTTACATAACCCCTCTTTCAACTAAACCCTTCTCTTGCCTTAAAAAAAAAACTAAACCCTTCTCTCCCAAAATATAGAGATGAAAGGATCCACTGCAATTTACTGAATTTAGGAAATTTACTATCGAGTATTTTTAGAAGTGGATTGAGAAATTAAAATGGAGCTGGGTTTTTGACTCATTTTGTGATAAATTTTGCCGACGAGGATTTGCAACCATTATTCGGTTTTTGTCGGCGGCAGCTTCATAAGCTTCGGACTCGGTTCCGGGTCACTCACCTGAAGAGCTCTTAAAGAACCTATTTTGGAGGTATTTTAGTTGTCTTTTCTTGTAGGATTTCTATTATTGTTTGGGTAATTTGGCTGTGAGAGATTAAATCCCATATGATGAATTTTTGAATGTGGGATGAAATTTCTGCTAAAAGATTATTTATTTAATTAATTTATATCTCGTATTAAACAATCTTGGTTGATAAATCAACACCGGTATTTGAATTTGATCCTCTTTAGAGAAAGAGTTTGCAATTAAAATTTCTATACGTAAAAACTCATTTTGATTGAAAAATATTTTGCAGGGTTGAACAATTTAAACATTCATGGTCTTGTGTGGCAGAATCCTCTTTAAAATCAGCACCTTCCTTCTTTTGCCTCTTCAAACTCGTTCCGTTTCGCCAGTTTTCTTCAGAAGCTACTCCCCTCGTTTTTCTACTGCCGTCGGAACTCACTCGTTATCAGGACATGTATCGTACAATCAACCCGTAGAAAGCACGCATTCCGGAAAGATCCACGATGCTGATGTCATCATTGCCAAAGCCCTCGAAGCAAACTGCGAAACCGAAGTCTTTGATTCTCTTGTTTACGAGTTTGGATGCGAAAGGATACCGATATCTCACACGTTGGTCGCGAGGCTGCTTCGTCGTTTTCAAGATGATTGGAAATCTGCATTGGGTGTTTTCAGATGGGTCGAAACGTACACGGAGTACAAACCCTTGCCCGAGTTCTACGATAAATTGGTGGATATATTGGGAAAGATGAAAGAGATGGACAAAATGAACGCATTAGTCGAGCAAATGCGCGAACACCATCTCGTCTCTCTCAACACCATAGCCAAGATGATGAGAAGGTGTTGCGGTGCAGGGGGATGGAAAGATGCCGTGAGAATATTCGACGAGTTGGAAAGTTTTGGATTGGAGAAGAACACCGAGTCGATGAACTTGTTACTCGACAGTTTATGCAAAGAGAGAAAAGTCGAGCAGGCCCGTTCAATTTTCTTGGAGCTCAAATCCCATATTCCACCTAATGCAAACACGTACAACATTTTTATCCACGGGTGGTGCAAGATAAAGAGGGTCGAGGAGGCGCAGTGGACAATTCAAGAAATGAAGGGACTCGGTCTTCGCCCGTGTGTCATTAGCTACTCGACTATTATCCAATTTTATTGCTCTCAGAGCAACTTTAACAGAGTATATGAGCTGCTCGACGAAATGCAAGCACAGGGGTGTAATCCTAACGTAGTCACTCTCACAACTGTCATGCATTCTTTGACAAAGGCGGGAGAGTTAAAAGAAGCGTTACAAATAGTCGAGAGAGTGAAATCGGTTGGCTGTAAACCCGATACGCAGTTTTACAATGCATTGATACATACGCTAGGCAGAGATGGACAAGTCGAGGAGGCGGTACGTGTCTTTACAAAGGAGATGCCGGAGAATAATATTAATCCGAATACATCGACTTACAATTCGATGATCGCAATGTTCTGCCATCACAGACAAGAGCCGAAGGCATTGCAGTATCTGAGGAATTTAGAAATTTCGCCGTACTGTAAACCCGACGTGCAGTCGTTTTATCCTCTGCTGAAGATGTATTTTCGAGATGGGAAAACGGATAAGTGCTTGATTAGTTTGTTGGACGATATGGTTAAGAAGCACCATCTTTGCTTCGACTTGGCGACTTTCACGCTTCTGATACACGGGCTGTGCAGAGCGGGTAAGTGCGAGTGGGCGTACGAGCTGTTTACGGAAATGGTCGGTCAGAACATAAAGCCTAGGTATCTGACGTGTTCGTTGCTTCTGCAAGAAATCAGACAGAAGAATATGATTGATAAGGCTGAGATGATTGAAGACTTTATAAAGAAAATGAAATCTTCTTGAATGATGAGAACTAACCAACTGCAGGTAAACGGACTTACGTTAGTACTAATAATTCTCTGTCTCGTTTATATGACCTGTGAGCGTAGCAATAGTTTCTACTTGCTTTATGTGAAGTAAGTTTGGTTTGGTTAATTCTTAAAACACGAAGATGAAGCGTTGATTGAAGTTTGTTTCGATGATTAACTTTCTGAAATGTCTTGTGAGGATTTGAGAAAATATCAGATTTTTGTTGCTTTAATCTGAATTAAAATCAAGATTTTCTTTAATTAGTTGCTTAATGATAAACGACCACTGACCCGTCAATTAGACGAGAGTTCGGGAACTAGGTTGCCGTTTGAGTTACAGTTGCAAATTGTTAATTTATTGTTCTACTTCTGTGCAGTAAACCCTCGTTCAGAAAATTGCCAAACGAAGAACGTTTACAAAATACTGTACGGTTGTTTGTCATGCCATGCTTATATATCTGGGTTGGCAAAATGCTTTTTGATTGAGAGATAACCTCAGGTTAGTTTTTGCTCTCATCAGTATCGAAAATTCTGATGTTCGTTTTTTTCCAATAATATAGCATTTGCAGAAATACCGATTTCCTATTCAAATTTAATTTCTAGAAATTCTGATTTTATTTTTGTTTTTGTTTTTTGCTGGAAAAAAAATCGTTGGTAATGCTTAATATTATGGACAAAATGCACTTCACCCCCTACAAAATTCCCATTTTCGCACTCCCCCCCTAAAAAAATCAAAAACTGGATAATTTCCCTTCAAAATATTATTTTTGTTGCACTTTGCCCCAGAAGCCAATTTTTGGTGGGCATTGTGCAACAAAAATAACATTTTGAAGCGGCAATGTGCAAAAAAATTATGTTTTCAAGGGGTAACGTGCAACAAAAATAACATTTTGAAGGGGCAATGTGCAAAAAGATAATGTTTTCAACGGGTAACATGCAACAAAAATAACATATAAAGGGGCAATGAGCAACAAAAATACTCAAATGCCGAAGAATAATCCATCGAAATTTTGCAATCGGGCCAATGTGCAACAAGAATAACATTTTGAAGGGGGGACATTCACTTTTTAAAATTCTGAGGTGGTAAAGTGCAAAAAATAGAATTTTTTAGGGGGTGATGTGCAATTTTCCGTGATATTATTATTTCCAAACCACCGGAAGCCGCTAGAACATCTCAACGGCTAATCCTTGGTTTTCTAATACTATATAGCATCTTATAATATTTTGTTAGAGAATGATATGTGTCTGAGTGTGTGTTTGTGTGACTTTATTAGGTATTCATTCAACCTCACGTGATCGTTGGTGAAGTTATCCAGTCTCGTAAACGAAAGGAAGAAAACGAAAACAAACAGAAGTTGGTAGAGCTTGATTTGGAGTTTCTCAAGAACGAACAATCAGAAAATCCGAAAACCTTCAACTTCACGTGGAGTGTTTGGCGATTCTTAAAAGATTTATGAATTATGCAGCAGAATTATATCCGGGATTCTCGGGACAATTAGTTAGCTTCCAAATACTGCACACTATTAATCTTTGTTTCGTTTTCGATTGTCGGTACTAAAATAATGATAACTGTCACGTTTATGTCATGCATCAAGTTATATAATCTATATGTATATATGTAGATATACATTATTACATATAGACGATGGAACGAAGAATTTTTCGCTGTGGTCGAGAATTTCACAGGGTTAATTAAAAAATTAACGAGGTCAGAAAGAAGCGCCCATGATTTTTGTAGCGGAAACTATCTAAAATAGAACATAAATAAATGAATTTATGTTGAACAATTTTTCTTTTCTTTTTGTCGCACGCCCACATAACTCATCTACATATTCAATCTCTAACGATCGTAGTTACTAAAGTCGATAAATATTCAATTATTTGATGATATTCTCTATAAATATATCCTTAAAAGAATTCGATTGCACTACCCTCGAGCCTGTATATTTTTTTACTATATTATCTAAAATATCGGTCGCCAAACTATATATTTCTGGTTCTGCCACTGTCTACGATATAATTTCGAATTAGGGCTACTAAAAAGCAATTAAAATTTGACCAACACTTTTTTCATAATTCATGTGATCATCAACCTTAAGTCAAATGTCGGACCTTGAAAATAAACTAAAATCTTCATTATTTATTATGCCAACTACACTTAAAATAAAATTATGAACTTTCTTAAAAAAATAATTTATAAATTCATAAACTGAGTCAACCCAATATTGTAGAAGGTCAATGTATTACAGCTGCGCAACTGTATTGAACTTTAGTCAGAAAAAATGTGCTGTATTTACAACTAATACCTACCCCTGCCCCACGTTAAGTGATGACGTGGATTATGGGCTACACTTCACTATGGTTATTTATTAACTAATTTTTTATTTATTTTTTTATTTTGGTATCCACTCATAAAATCTCATCCATTTATTTATTATATATTATTATTATTTTTTCCTTTTTGCTATTGTCAAACGTTATACAATTATATACTGACTTATTGAGTAATTGTGATTAAATTTGTCATCACATAGTATAACTTTAATCTTAATTTATCGTGACAATCAAACAAGGTCTTGTTATATTGCAATCGTCTCATATTTGATATTAATCAATATTTTATATCCATCATAAATAAAATATTTTACAATTTGATACTCCACATCCATTTTATTTATTAATTTCATTTCAAAATATTTCCAGCATTTATTTGCTTGTCTAAGCCATTAAAGTCCTTGTGTGGTGGGAATTGGAACTAAGAGGGTGTTTGGCTAAGCTTATTTTATACAGCTGATAAGCTCTTACGTTTGATAAGATGTTTTAAGAGCTGATAAGCTCTTACATCTTATTTTTAGGATTAATTTTTAGGGTGTTTGGATAATGGGCTTATTTCATATTTTTACTCATTAAAAGATCTTAAATAAAAAGGTGGGGTAGAGGTACTTATTTAAAAAGATCTTATTTGCTCTCCAACAACTTATTTTAAAAAAAATTAAGATCTTTTTCTAAAAATTTACCAAACACTTTGGAAGAGCTTATAAGCTCTAAAACATCTTATAAGCTCCTTTTAACATCTTATAAGCTTAGCCAAACACCCTCTAAGTCTCCGAATTTCACCGATTTTCAGTTTGATTAGAAAATCTTCAATTATGGAAGATTTTTTTTATGAATTTTGAAAAATCTGATTTTCTGAATTTTCATTTCCTTTTTTATCGAAAATTTTATTATATTGAATTCAAACATGCGTCCAAGTTTTAATTTTCAAAAGTAATTCCAACAAATCATTTTTTTCCCAAAGAAGTACTTTTATTTATATTATAAAAATATGAGTTTTCTAATTCTGCCGATTTTGATATGAGAAATTGCGATTATGAATAAGTATTTTCATTCCAAATTCTGAAACTCCAATTCCAATCATTTGAAATATTTTCTTTTTATTATTATTAATGAATTGAAATTAGTTTTTCACTTCCAAAAAACACTTTCCAAAAAAAGTAAAAGTGTTAATTCCGATTCAATCTGTCCAATTTCCACCATTAAGTCTCTTATAACAAAATCACTTTGTTGTAGGAACAATTGTTTGTTACGGGTCCATTCCATGAACTAAAAATAGGTCACAGATCGCACAGTGTGTAAGCAACGATGACACTTAACTTAAGTTCGTACTCAAGTCACTCAATGGATCGATGAACATTATTTGCAGACCGCGATCCATATTTTTTCACCAATGATTATCTTAATTAAAAAAAAAATATTTAAAATCAAATAAATAATATATTAATGAAAAATGGTTTTTTTTGATGAAAAATGAATTTTAGTGGTGAACAAATTCTAACAAAATAAAACCGGCAAATATCACAATCACCATGATATAAATGCTTTCACACATTTGCACCTTGTAATAATAATAAGCGCTACACCCAAAACACAAAATAGATCAGGACTTTGAACAAGACAAGTTTCTCTCTCTTCCCCTCTGTCCTGCCATTTCCAGCCACTCATGCTAGAGAGAGAGAGAGAGAGAGAGAGAGAGAGAGAGAGATTTAGAGAGAGAATCTGGAAAATTCGAGGGAATTTCAAGATTTAATCAACCAAAGACGTGGCCTTTTTTCCTTCCCATTATCATCCCATCATCATCCAAACATTCATCATTTGATTTCTTTCTGGGAATTCGATCCCAACAATTAAAAACAAAAAAAGATTCAATTTTTATTTCTGTAATTAAATAAAAAAAGGAAAAAATGCCGTCTCCGGCGAACTTCCCGCTGAGATGGGAGAGCACCGGCGACCAATGGTGGTTCGCATCGCCGATCGACTGGGCGGCGGCGAACGGCCACTACGACGTCGTTCGGGAGCTCCTCCACATCGACACGAATCTCCTCATCAAACTCACGTCCCTCCCGAGGATCCGCCGCCTCGAGACCGTGTGGGACGACGGCGACGGCGACGGGAGCTTCAGCCACGTGGCAAAGTGCAGGTCCCACGTGGCGAGGAGGCTCCTCCAGGAGTGCGAGGTCAAGAAGTCGGGCCACAATTCCCTGATCGGCGCAGGCTACGGCGGCTGGCTCCTCTACACCGCCGCCTCCGCCGGCGACGTGGCGTTCGTGAGGGAGCTGCTGGAGAGGGACCCACTGCTGGTGTTCGGCGAGGGGGAGTATGGGGTTACCGATATATTCTACGCCGCCGCCAGGAGCAAGGATTTCGATGTTTTTAAGGTTGTGTTTGATTGCTCTGTCTCTCCAAAGGGTCCGCAGTTGAAGGAGGTTTCTCCGGTTTTCCGGTCGGAGATGACGAATAGGGCGGTCCATGCCGCGGCTAGAGGCGGCAATGTGGCGGTGCTGAGAGATATCTTGAACGGCGGCGGCGGTGGTGGTGGTGATGTTTTGACTTATAGGGATGCTAGGGGTTCTACTGTATTGCATACAGCCTCCGGCAGAGGGCAAGTTGAGGTGAAAATTACCTTTATGCCATTCTTTTTTATTACAGTTGGGAGCAAATAAATTCTATTAATTTAACGAATTATTAAATTATTGAGAAAGAAACTATATTTAAGCGAGATTATTAATTTATATTAATTTATCGAGGTTGTACTGTAATTACCTTTTGCTACATGCTTAAGTAGTATAGATTGCATGTTGTCTTTGCCTTTCTTTACGTGTATCTATCTATTTTGAGTTCTTGAAAATTTGATGCAAGAATTTGGGGAATTTGAAGTTCCGTTGTAGAACAAATTCGTCGAAAAAAGCTCGAGAAATTTGCTATGTTGCATTTGAAAATCCTTATAATTAATGTTCTTGTTTGTATAATATACGCAGGTGGTGAAGTACTTAATAGCCTCGTACGACATAATCGATACAGTCGACAACCGAGGCAACACGTCGTTACACATAGCTGCCTATCGGGGCCACTTGTCCGTACTCGAGATCCTCATCTCCAGTTCTCCGAAATCAGCCACGTCAGCAAACAACTACGGGGACACTTTTCTCCACATGGCAGTTTCCGGTTTTCGGGCGCCTAGTTTCCGGAGAATGGACCGACAGATACATCTCATGCAGCAATTAGTTTCCGGTAAGCTCGTAAACCTCGAGGACATTATAAATATTCAGAATAACGACGGGAGAACCGCACTCCACACCGCCGTGATAGACAACATCCAATCGGAAATCGTCGAGCTGCTCATGTCCGTTCGCTACATAAACCTTAATATATGCGATAATGACGGAAATACACCCCTCGACCTCCTCAAGCAGCGCCCGAGATCCGCCTCCTCCGAGATCCTGATCAAACGGCTGATATCCGCCGGAGGGATCTCCGATCGAAATACCCGAAACGCCCTCGTCTCACACCTGAGGATGCATGGCATCGGGGGCAGTCCCGGAACTTCTTTCCGGATACCCGACGCCGAGATTTTCTTGTACACGGGCGTCGAAGTAGTAACGAGCACTACGGAGTGCGGTTACTCGGGGGAAATCCAAAGCGCGGGCCCCACGTCATCGGAATCGAAATTCAAGAAAACGGGATCGATAAATAGCCGTCTCAGGAATCTGTTCCGTTTGCCGACAAAGAAAGATACCGCCGCCCCTTCGGATCTGGAAGACGCTTCGGAATATTCCGTCGCGTCTTATGGGCGGAGTTTTAAAGACAGCCCGATTCCGTTAAGGCAGCAGTTTTCGAGAATGTCTTCGATGCCGAACAACAAGAGGGTGCAACCTTCGTTACCCGCGGGTGACTTTAATTACACTCCGAGCCCGTTGACCAAGAAGAAGTATGCTGCTGGATTAACGCACGGAGTTCTACAAGTGGTGCCGAAGAAGTACTTTGGATCGCCTTCGAGCGCTCTTTCCGAGTCCTCGTACAATGGTAGCGTGGAACCCTCCCCGGCGAATCAATCCCCGAGTTTGGATAAGGTTAAGATGAAGCGTAAACACGCCTCGTTTAACTTGAGGTTGATGAATAGCTACTTGTGTTTTGGTGCACAGGGTTTGTCTGTGGAGAAGAGTGTTGATGCAACAAGAGAAAACCAAGATCCACAAAGTATAGTTGTGTAGTGAGTTATATGTGTATTTAATTTTTGAATTAGTTGCTAATAAGAAGTGAATTTTGTTTTTTTTTAAACCAATTAAATTTGCAGAATCTGTAATACCAAGTTTTGTTGTTTTGTGTAAATCTATTGTTACTTGTGTATTGTGTATTGTTAGGCTTAATTATATAAAATATAGTTTTTTGCACTTTGCACCTTTGAAAATAATTGCTGACACTTGGCACCCTAAACACAATAAATCATACTCAATGCATCATGAATAATTTTTTTAAACTAATACATATAATTTAATATTTTTAGTAATATTTTTGTCAAATATTGTCAAATCAATTTTTTTTTTTTACATTCATCAATCCTTCAAGGCAATTTTGAAACTACTACAAAGTAGAAAATAAAATATATCTCATCAGTGTATTTAAAATTTATAAATTTTTATCTGAAAAAAAGTAAAAATTCCTTCATCTATTTTGTCATCAAGTTGTTTGAGTATATTATATTTTCTTACAGAGATTTTTAGCAAATATTTTTATGACTTACAATAAAAGATTCACAAATCAAATAATTTAGTTATAAGAAATTATTTGAAGTAACTCGGTGTTTTTGTTCACACTTTGCAGCTTCAAAATTTGGTTGGAGAGTAGAAGAAAATAACAATTTAATTTTGTTGTTTTGTACCTTGAAAAAAAACACAATAAAAATGAAATTGCCCTTATTGTGTTTAAAAAAATCAATTCATGATTATAATTAGCATTAGCACACTAGTATATGATTAAATCATGATTGTGATTATGATTAGCATTTGTATTAGCATTGTCAATAAAAAAATATTTTATTGGGATAGTTAGACAAACCCCTATGAGGCATGTCCAATTAAGATAAGCCCAAAATATTTTATAATTTTAAGATAAATTCAAAATATTTTTTAATTACTAAAAAAATATAATATCATAATAATACGCTTAGTTTATGTGAAAATAGAAATATAAAAAGATACAATTTCAGTTAGCCCAATGAAAACAACATCCATTTGGGCAGATCCTTGCCTAATGGACGAGGGTAGTGTGAAGTTTTCACTCGTCGAACGATAAACACGTCTCAACCAAACTGTGTAGCCGATCTTATAGATAGGGAGACCGGTTCACGGAATACGTCGCTCATTGAGGATATATTTTGGCCAATTGATTGTGGCCGCATCTATGCAGTGCCTATTGGGAGCTCTCTATCACAGGATCGTTGGGTTTGACGGTTTACTCGCAATGGCCATTTCTCGGTTCGCTCATGCTACTACTCAACTATGCAACGTTGGTTGGAGGTGACAACGAAGTAGAGTCCTCTAGTGGGAATCAAGACCGACGTTGGTCACAGATCCGATTTGCTCTCGGTGTGGATCCTCTTCGGAGACTTTGTTGCACGTTGTTCAAGAATGTAAAGGCATGGGCAGAGTTTGGGAAGAGGGTCCGTTTTGGCTTCAAGGAATGGGTGCTTGTTCTACTATGTGGCAATGGCTCGACAGGTTGAGGAACAGCCTCGAAGAAGATGAAATCCAACTCGCCATCGTTGTGGCCTAGAAATCATGGGATAATCGAAATAAGGAGTTGCACGAAGAAGAAGGCATCCCAACTGCTGATCTGTTATCCTGGTGCAGTCAGTACTTGTACTATTATCGTGCGGCCCAACTTCCACCGGCGTCGGGGATGCAGATTTCTCACAACCATGGTTATCGAATCGGAAAATATCGGCGTATCGTTTTCCTCCGTGTATCGTATCGTATCGTTATCGTATCGTATCGTACGATATTTAACCAACTATTAAAAATAATGAAATATATATATATCTACATAATAAAAATACTATAAAAATGTAAAATTTAACATTTTAAAGTCAAACCATTCATTCCTAATTTAAAAAAAATATATATATATCATAAAATAGGACATAAGTCATAATTGCTCATAAAAATAATATCAACAAAGTTCAAATTTTGATATCTAATTTGTAAAAAACTAATCTATGACTCATAATCTTCAAGATCAATGTAACTTAAATTTTTTTCATCCACCAATTTCAAACGAGTGTCTTCATCCTCATGTTCATCAATCTCTTCAACTTCATCAACTCCAACTTTGGCCTTTTCCTATTTTCTCTTATCAATATAAAATCTGGCGTGTAAATTTCTTGGATCCAATATATGTAAAAAAATATTAAATAATATTGAAATTCGTTTTCAAGCCCTGATAGTGTGAATATTTCATTTTCTTATTTTTTTTTTCTTTTTTTTTTTATAATTTTTATATATATATTTTTTTTAATATTTTGTCTAATATCGTAAATATCATATCGTATCGTGATATGGCGATACGATACGATATCTCGCGATATTTAACGGTATTTATGCATAGCCGATACATATTATGAGTTGTATCGTTTTGATTGGGACCGTACCGTCTCGCGATATAAATCGCGGTATCTCGCGAGTTTAACTACTATGCTCACAACCAGACATGGACCCCACCACCTGATGGGATTATTAAAGTTAACTTCGATGTCTCTTTGCCGCCGAACAAAGATTTCTATGTGGTCGCTGCAGTCGGTAGAGATCATGGTGGACGATGCAAATGGTGGTCGGTACAGAGCTTCAAAGGCAGACCGCGATCTATTGACGGAAAAGCACACGCGGCAATGCATGCAATCAAAATGGCACATAATCAAACATGGAGTTAGATGGTGTTTGAAGGTGATTGTCTAGAGGTTATAAACACTTTTAAGGATGGAGATGAGTCACTAGCATCGTATGGAGCATTCGTTGAAGATAGCTTACGTATTATTTGTTCATTTTCCTTATGTAATTTTCATTTTGTCAAAAGAAAGGGCAATTATTTAGCCCATGCTTTAGCTAGTCAAGGATTATTTCTTTGCTCTGAAGGAGCTTCTCTCCCTTCAAACATTGCATATTTTGCCTAATAAATTATTCTAGTTTACCTAAAAACAAGTTAGCCCAATAAATTAAATTTAATCATCTATATTGAGATTAGAGGAGCTAGTAGTGTTGGATTTCTGGTAGGTCTGATCTAGATTCTTCCTCTTCAACAAGGCGGCTTTGATCAGAGTTTTCATATTCGATACGTTATAGTTTTGAGCAACGTATACTCCTCCGATAATCGCTAGCATAAACATTAAGTTTGTTTCTCATGAATACCTTGTGTTTTTGTTATCTAGTCTAATTCTTCACATTCCCAACTCTTTCCTCCCCAATCTCACCTCACGCTCCTATATTTTTTTTCCAGCAATCGTTGTCTCCCCTCTCTTTTCTCTTTTCCGTCGATGCCCTCTCTTTTCCGTCGACGCCTACCATCGCCCTCATATGTTGAATCCGTCTCCCAGTGTTTCCGACATTTCCACTATTGCGCAGAGTGATTTTCGCTATTTCCATTTATTAAATTACTATTTGTGCATAGTGGATTTTGACATTTCATCTATTAAGTCCACTATTGACATTAATATTTAAAGTGAATTACGTTAATTTCATAATGAGGTTTTCAATAAATTTCAAATAATTATTGTTTTTAGTTAATAGCTCCAAATTCTTGCTTTCAGGAAGTAGTGGATCTCAAAATTTTATTTTCAGTAAATAGTGAATTTCAATTTTAGTGAATTTCATTTTTTCGTAAATCTGTTTTAAAAAAAGACACTAATTAATAATTTTTGCAACGAAATTAAAAAAAAATATTGAAAATTAAAAAATGGAAACAAAATTATTGAAATGAGGTATTTTTTAGGGAGAGATTATGATAGGATTCTAAATTAAGGTGATTTACATATGTATAAATCTTCTAATTAATTTTCCATACTGAAGTGCTAAATCCGAGACTAAATTGGTGAGTTTTATAATTTGAATGTTTTTCAACGCTGTACCAAGCGTATTAGCTCTTACATATTTTTCGAAACATAAGTAATTGTAAAAAAAAAAACAATAATAATAACAAGGGTAAATTACACCCACATCTCTGAGGTATGCTAAAATAACTTTAAGATCCTTATAGTATTGGTAATTACAATTAACTCCCTGAAGCATTTCATAGAAACTCTAACGGGATAATGCATTGGAGACGTTACTCCGATTAAATTCTAATGGACTATTAGTTTCAGTAATAGTCCAGTCCACCACTTCATGAACTAATAGTCCGTTAGAACTCTATCGGAATAACGTATCCAATGCATTATTACATTTGAGTTTCTAACAATGTTTAAGGGAGTAATAATTGTAATTACCGATACAACAAGGACATTTAAGTTATTTTAGCATACCTCAAAGGCGCGGGTGTAATTAAAGTTATCTCCTATAATTTCAGCAAAATTTACTCCAATTTGTTATATTAAGATTTGAGTGTAGTTAGAATAGGAAACAAAAGATACGCCTCGGAGATTCAAATTTAACCGGTAACAGAATATACTATAGAGCAATTTAAAAACCAAGAATTTGATTAAAGTGAATCAAAATTCTGGTAACCAATAAGAATCTAAAATTCGGGATCCCCATATAAGAATCTCTCTAAGTATTCAAACTCCCACATTTATGGAATCAGTTACAAAATTAACTTTGACCAATTATTCTTTAATTAAAAAAATTTATCAAAACAATCCTATAATTAATCCTAGCTACCGAGGAAAATAAGGCTATCCATCCATTTATATTTCATGATATATGTATATGTATATATATATAAATATCTCTCCCATTATTTGGGAAATTGAGGGAAAAAAAAACCCATAGGAGGGTTGTATAGACATACACATACACACAAAATTTGGTTGAATTTTTCCGGCTGCCATTTTTTGTATTCTTACATCTCTCCCTCTCGCTCGATCGACCGAAAGGGAAAAAGGGAATACGAGAGAGAGAGCAAGAAAAAATGGTGGGAAATAATATCGAGAAGACTGCGGAGGAGAAAGCGATCGACGATTGGCTGCCGATCACGTCGTCTCGGACTGCCAAATGGTGGTATTCCGCCTTCCACAATGTCACCGCCATGGTCGGAGCTGGTGTTCTCAGTCTCCCTTATGCCATGTCTAACATGGGATGGTATGTATGTATGTATATATATATCTTGATGTGGGCCCCGCATTCAAGAATCTCGCGACGTGGAACAGTGTTTTTCATTCCGATTCTCAAATTTCCCATTTTCAAATTTTCCAATTTCTTTTTTGGAATGAAATTGGAATACATACAAGATTTCGATTTCCGTTTTTTAAGATTCTTTTATGATAACAAATTTGGAATTAGTGTTTCGAAAAAAAAAATGGATTATATTCTGAAAGTGCTAATTCTGATCTGATCCGTCTGATTTTCACCAATGAGATATCTTAATTTGTGGATGATTTGTCTTGTTTCTAATTTGCAAATTGCAAATACGTTAGATTATTCAATTTGCAATTTGTGAATTAATACTAAATCTATATGGTTTTTTTTTTTTTTTTTTTTTAATTTATAAATATTTATAGTAGGGTTTGTACAAATATATAATTTAATTATCTAATTAATTGATTTATGCAGGGGCCCTGGTGTGACAATGATGATACTATCATGGCTAATCACTTTGTACACACTATGGCAAATGGTGGAGATGCACGAAATGGTACCCGGCAAGAGGTTCGACAGGTACCACGAGCTTGGCCAGCACGCGTTCGGGGAGAAGCTAGGGTTGTACATTGTGGTACCACAACAAGTCGTGGTCGAAGTAAGCACGTGCATTATCTACATGGTGACGGGTGGCAAATCGTTGAAGAAATTCCACCAATCGGTTTGCCCCGATTGCCACGAGATCCGCCTCACCTATTTCATCCTCATTTTCGCCTCGATCCACTTTGTCTTGTCGCATCTCCCCAACTTCAACTCCATCTCTGTCGTCTCCCTCGCTGCGGCTGTCATGTCTCTAACGTACGTATATTTTTTCCCCTTTAAAACACACTTTTCAAATTTTATTTTTTCTCTGTATTTAGAGGTGGAAATTGGATGGATTGGATCGAATTTAATATTTTTGAAAGATAAATCTTTTTTTTTTTCCGAAGAAAGATAATAATAATTTGGATTGTTATGGTTTATTTGAAACAAAATCAGAAATTGGAAAGTAAATATTGTTTTAACTTCAGAAATTTTGGATCAGAATCCGCAGAATTCATACTGTAATATGGATATACAACAATATTAATATTATAATACAATTTTTGTTGGAAGAAAAAAAAAAAAAAATTTCGAAATTAAAGCTAGACTGAAATTCGGGATTTAATATAGAATTCCAATTCCGATCCGTAATATTTCAGTAAATGTGAGAATTTTTTTTTTCGAAAATTGGAACAAAGGTAATTAATTGTTCTATTTTTTCGAAAATCAAAACTTTTATACATAATTCCGATCCCGGTCATTTTGGAAATGTTCATTTCTTTCCCGAAGTCGATATTTTATTATAGAAATCGACGTAATTCAAATCTTGTCAATAAATTCAAACAACTAACATATTTTATTTTTCCTTCAAAAAAAAAAAAAAATTGTAGGTATTCAAGTATTGCATGGATAGCTTCACTAGTGAAGGGAACAAGTAAAGATGTGGACTATACCCTAAGGGGAGAAAACACACAAGCCAATGTTTTCAACTTCTTCAATGCATTGGGAGATATAGCTTTTGCTTACGCCGGACATAATGTCGTTTTGGAAATTCAAGCAACGATTCCTTCAACTCCCGAAAAGCCTTCGAAGAAAGCTATGTGGAAGGGGGTTATATTCGCTTACGCCGTCGTTGCCATTTGTTATTTCCCGGTTGCTTTCGTCGGTTATTACATATTCGGTAACACCGTGGACGACAATATCTTGTTGACACTAGAGAAGCCGAGGTGGCTCATTGCTTGCGCTAACATGTTCGTCTTGGTACATGTCATTGGAAGTTATCAGGTTTGTTTTCATTGTCTCTATTGCAGATATTAATATTAAACGATCAGACTTTTGGTTGAGGTGATCATTCAACAGTCTCCATATATTATTTATTTTAATTAGGTCAAAATTAGGTCAACTCGCTTATGTTATTCATGTTTTGCTCGAACATTATAACGCTACTCGTTTTTTTCCCCCGGAAAATCGTAGATCTATGCTATGCCGGTGTTTGACATGTTGGAGACATTCTTGGTGAAACAAATGAAGTTCAGGCCTTCCTTCTGCCTTCGTTTCACAACTCGTACCTTATATGTCGGTAAGGCTTCTATATATCGTATAAGGAGACGAGATTAATCGAATAGTAAAAACGAAAAAAATTGGATCGACCCGGAAAATCGTTAGACTAATTAATCAAATATCAAATAAGAGACCTTAATCTTTACTATGTTTCTTGATTTTGTGCAGCATTTACTATGTTTGTTGGCATGACATTCCCTTTCTTTGGTGGTTTGGTTGGTTTCTTTGGTGGTTTTGCTTTGGCCCCAACTACATACTATGTAACTCAACCTACCTATTACAACTCTCTACTTATTTATTTTCTTATATATATATTTATTTATTATACATTAATTAATTCACAAGAAAAAAAAAACAATTAATTAATATATTTTTTTCTTATAGCTTCCTTGCATCATTTGGCTCATTGTCAAAAAACCCAAGAAGTTCAGCATATCCTGGATTTTCAATTGGGTAAGTATCCACACACACACAAAATAAAAATCAAATCTTGAAAATATTACAATTCTTGGATTTATTGCTTACTCTATATTGACAATAATGCTTATTTTATTAATTTTTTTTTTTATTTTTCTCGATTTTCAGATATTCATCATAGTCGGGGTAATGCTGATGATTGTCGCACCCATCGGAGGAATGAGGAACATAATCCTATCAGCCAAAGACTATAAATTCTACCAATAAATGAATAAATAAAAAATATTAATAACCAGTTCGATTGTGCCGAGGAATAATGGTGGCACGTCTCTTCCAAGTTTTCTTGTTTTAAGTAGTAACGTTAAATTTTGTGGTTGTAGACTTGTTGTCTATACTCAGAATAATAGTCGTTGTAGTAGTTGTTTGATTTTTTTTTTCTCTCTTTCCATTTTTAATTAATAAAACTGACGTGGTAGATTGTATATATATAAAAATATTAAGTATTACATCTTCTTATTTATTAGGATAAATTATAGTAAAAATCATCATCCATATTTTTCTTATGGTTTATTGCAATTTAGTACCATTGTGTTATATCGAATTGTAAAAAACTATCCCGTTTTATTTTAATGGTAAAACAATCCTATTGTTTAGTTTTTTTTAGCAATTAGTACCCCGGGTCAGGGGTTGTGTGCTAAAAAAATTGAATCATAGGGGGTATTTTGCTAATAAAATAACATAGGGTAGTTTTCTAGTAATTCGACATAACATAGGGGTACTAAATGCAACAAACCCTTTTTTTTATTATAAAAGGAATAAATAGACGGGAAATTGGATGCTACACCAAGTTATTAACACTGGGTGGTTTGAACTTTAGATCTACACCCATATATATTTTAGTGAGTAGTAACTTAATTAAATTTACGGTTTAAATCTACTAAGTGTAAATAAACAGAAATAACATTTAATTTCCCATGATAGATCAATCATGAAAAATAAGGAAAAGAAAAAACAGACTAGTCATGTATATCGAGTTTTGATAAACTTATTTATGACTAGGAATTATTCACACTCGGTATTATAGCTCATATTGAACTTATAACACTAATTTAATTACAAATTAGTTAAATGCATGTGAATGCCCTAAAAGTAGAAGTTAATGAATGTGAGTTAAATTAAGACTAAATGTTTATTTCTAAAAGTTTGGGGTATTTGCAAATTAGCCTATTTTTTTCTAATATAGAAAAAGCAGGTACATGATTACTTTTAAAAACTATAGATTAAAACAGCTTATTCTAAAAGAAACAAAACCAAAAACTTGTTTGTAAACATCTAAAATTAAGCACTGAACATTGAATGTTGAATATCCATCTTAATAATTAAGAGCAATCTCTGAATACTGAATGTTGATCGTTTAAGTTTGTTTGATAACGGTATCATTTTTATAACTGAATGATTTAATTTTACTATATTGTCCTTCAAAATTGTTCAATTCGATTTTACTAGTTGAATTTTATAATATTTAACTAAATATTTTTTTTAACTTGTAAATATTAGATCATATTCTTAGTATAACATAAATATATAAACAATATAAATCTAAATTTTCACCAAAATATCTCGCTCCCAAAATATTCACAAAGAACAAATTTTTAATCTTCTTTCACTCTCTATTATCATTACAATTTTCTGAATTATAGAAATTTTTTACTCATACTTGGGTTTAATGAAAATTGACTAATGGGGGCATGGGTTCTATATTTGACAAGAAAAGAAGAAAAAAATGGGTCAAACATGAAATACTTAAATCTCAATAGGGATAAAATAGTCTAAAATCCCTTCAGTATAGTGCTGAATGAATAAGTCCAATTTTTTTGACTTAATCGGTCAGCAATGAATTGCTTCATTCAGAAAATTGTACCAAACACTCTGAGTAATATTGTGCTGACCGAATAAGTAAATTTCCCCATTAAGAGGCCATTAAGCACCAATCAAACATAGCCTAAAACAACTTATTCTAAAAGAAACAAAAGCAAAAACTTGTTTGTATACATCTAAAAACATATTATGAGAAAAAACTCATAATCTATTTCTAAATGCTTCCACAAACACCACCTAAATCGACAAATACAAAACGTGGGTTACAATTAGTTTTTTTTTTTTTTTTAATTTTTTTTTATTAATTTGGATCCTCCACGGACTATTCTAACTTGATTAGATTTCCATAAAAACCGAGAAATATTGAAAGTACATTGTTATTGAGATGCTACATCGGGTCATATGCATCAGGTGATTTTTAACCATTGATGTGATTAAATAACAACTCACTAAACACCCATACACATGAGTGTGTGTAATTATATTCATATCAACAATTATTAATCACACAATGTATTTCATCGCGTGTAACATCAGATAAACCGAGATACATGAATAAAAAGAGCATATTCAATTGACTGCACTCCATTGTTACTGATTCCTTAACAAAAGACATTCATTAATTTTAATTTTTATTAATTGAACATCTTTAATTAATCACATTTTTCCAAAGAAAGCCCGGCTCCATTTAATTTGGGCCGGGCTACACCTGCCCATATATTTCACGGGCCCTCAAAGACCGAGGGCAGAATGGGAATATGCAATCCGATATACTTAACTGTTGGAGGCAAATATTTCCCGCCAAAATTGTTGTGCTACTCCCAATTCCCAAATTCTCGTCGAAACCCTAAGGCTAAACTCGAGATTGCGAAAAAATGGAAGAGGAAATCAAAGCAGAGTTCACTAGAAACGGCTTCAATTTCGACGACGAGGAAGAAATTCTCCAGAAATGTGAGTTATTTCTTTTGCCCAGAATATTTTTGGTCCCCAAATTTGTATCACACCGTTTTTTATGCGAATTTGTTTGAATTTTGCAGGTCTGACATTTTGTATACAGTACAAGCTCAGCGCTTCGGATCTTGTTTCCATCTGGGATATTTACTCTCTCAACAGGTTACAAAATTTAATATCTTTTCTTAATTCTTATACTATTGTTTGTTGCTTCGTCTTCTGCCTCAAATGTATAGAATTTTTGTAATACGTTTCAAATTAGTTTCGTTTTCAGCAGTAATACAATTTCAGACAGCTTATTTGAGTTAGGAGGTGTGTTATCTGAATAAATATTGTTAAATTGATTATAAGCACGTTCATACCTCTTCGAAAATATTAGGGCTTGTAAGATTCTTATGAAATTTTAGAAATGAAGTTCTTCGGGTTTTCGGGTTTTCTGGTTTTGGTTTCAGTTTTGGTTTCGCATTCTCTTTGAAAAATGGCAAAGATTTCATACTTGTTTGAAAATTTAGTTTGTTAGTAATCATTACTAGCAATTTTGTATTAAATAAGTTCAGTCAAACGCATTATAATATGCTGTAGTTTCTCTCAGTAAGGTAGAAAATGTCGATGGGGTCAGGTTTTAAATGATCGTATGCAACATTTTTACAAAGAATGACTTCTTCATTTTTTCGTACTTCACCAATAAATAACACTGTCGTCATAGTTACATAGCTTCGTAGATTGTTTGTTTCGAGTATAATATGTCACAGATTCAAATATTGGCATCCTACTTATTAGGAAGTTATTGAAATCGAATCAAATTGCATGGGATCATTCACTTTGAGAAACTATTAAAATATGAAGGAACACATTCTTCGGGGGGACCATCCTTTATTTTTATGCCTTTTGATTTTGTTGTTTGTCAATAGTAATGAGGGAATGATTGTCAGTATGATTATGAATTTGCTTTTTATTGCAGAGGATTAGAGTTTACCGTGCGAAGCTCGCATATGGGTGCATTTTTAGAGCAACTGCAGAGAGAACAGGTGGATAAAGTCAAACAAAAAGACTCAGGACTGCATTTGTACTCTAATGACGTAGCTATGTAAGTCAGTTTTCCGTATAGTTATTTTAGTATCGTATCGACTTGCCCCACTGAGTTTGAAGCTTGTAAACTTTTCGATTGGGTTTGCACACTAATCACTCGTTCTATTGCGATCTCCTTTGTCTAGTGGAACTTAACTTCAAATGTTGTATTTCGCTTTTGATCTTTGGCATGTTTATTTAGCTTCTTCTTCACGTAAATTACGTCGTCAATTATTTAAATTCCATTTCATTAACAAAATTACTACAATTTTGCAATATTGAACAGGATATTGCATGGTAACATTGAAGAGACAGAAGTCATACTCGATACTCCAAATGCTAAGGGAACATCAGCCCAAGAAAAGCTGTCTGATTCTGCACAAAAAACAACCGGCGGCAAATTTACCTTTGAAAAACCTCTAGAATCGGTTACGCCTTTTGGGTCAAGAAAGAGCAAGTTTGTTGTGCAAACCACAATTAACGAGCAACCCAATATACAGACGATTAAAGTCGAAGAGGACCATGAAAATTCTGAGGATGACATCATCAAGAGAGTTCAACCCAGCCAAAAATGTTCGTTGCTAATTGACAGATCTCAGCCCGAACCAGGTTGCAGATTCATGTATGACAGAATTGAAGATAAGGTATTGATTGATTCCTCCGTTTACTGCGTTAATCATACATATTTCTTTATTGCAAAGTCTGATTTACTTTTTGATGATTTAGTTTGATTTCATGGAAAATTGCATCAAAAAAAGAGCAGCTGCCTATGTCTCGTCTGGCCAGTACGAGGAACCTGTTGACCCTTCAGTTGCTTCCCAGGTAATTCAATTTATCGGCATATGTGAGTTGATTACACATGCAATGTTCAACTAATCGAAGAATTAAGTCTTTCAGTTGTAACTCTAATGTAGAAGTTGCTTGAGTTTAATATTAATTTTGCTTATCTCCTTCAATAAACCATGTTGTTTCAGAAAAGTATTTTTGCTGTCGGCATGATCTGCTGTGAGGAAGAAGGACGACTGAAGGAAAAGCCTATTTTGCTGCAAAGCAGGTATAAACTCTTACATGCAGCTTCTTCATACTTATGAGATAAAATAATTGTCTAGGCGTTTGAACCTGCCCAAATAACTTATGAGTATGTCGGATTAATTTCCGGACACAGTTTTATTCGTTTTCCTTTTATGCAGTGTTGAGCATTCGGGCGGGCAGCGTGTTCGTCTTGACTTGCAAAAGTTAAACCAATTTTCTATTTTTCCAGGCCAGGTTAGAATGTGACTTTCTTAAGAAGTAAATTTCGTCGTCACCCGTGTCTCACAGTGCAGTGTAAGAATAACCTTTTGTATTGACTTCCATATAGGTGGTGGGTATTGAAGGGCATAATCCTAGTGGACACTGTCTTATTGCATCAAAGATTATTGATACTGTCCCCTCGTCTATTACTTCGACCGAACAACTGCCTTCCAAAAGACAAGCTTTGGATCACGTTATTCAGTCGTCAAAGGTTTCATTGGTAAGTTCCGACGCTGCATTACAGAATTAGGAAAAATTGATATTACTTGTGATTAGAAATTACACGAGCTATTCTGCAGCATCCTAGACTTTGTTACTAAATTAAGATACAGCTGGTTAGGTTTTTTTTTTTTTTCTCTCCCGTTTTTGCTAATTGAATTTTAAACAGATTGTTGCAGCAGGGCCTTTTACCACAAGCGGTAATTTGTTATTCGAACCGCTAACAGAGCTATTATCCTATGCACGCCGAAAGCAACCTCAGTTGCTTGTCCTAGTGAGTTAATTAATAGCTGGCAGCATTTATTGTCTATAATTGACGCGGACGAAAAAAATTAAACTAATCTTATTTCATTTTGTCTTTGACAGCTAGGCCCGTTTATTGATTCTGATCATCCAAACCTCAAGAAAGGAAATGTCGATCAGACTTTTGATGATATGTTTCGCCTTGAGGTCCTTGGAAAGGTAATTAATACAAGTTCAAATTTAAAAAAATAAAGTCATATAATTGTTGCATTTACATACTCAACCTACTTAACCCGCGTTCTTTCTATTTTATTGCTTATACAGCTGCAAGATTATGTCGAGTATATGGGTTCTTCAGTAAATGTGATTCTTATGCCATCTTTCCGGGATGCCAATCACGACTTTGTTTTCCCGCAGGTAGCTAGTTTTGAATTTCTCTTTTGTGCGTGTTTTAAGTTCTAATTTTTCTCTTGTTAGGATATAGTAAACCAGTATTACATTAAAGTAAGATTTGCTAATTTGGTTATTATTTTGGCAGCCTGCTTTCGAGATTCGTCCTGCAGATTTTATTCATCAGGTACAACGATGCTTTATGATCTCAGTTAATTGTATATATGGATACTTGTTTAACACGACTGACAAAAAATAACATTTTCCTCAACAGATATACAGCGTCTCTAATCCGGGAATGTTCTCTGCTAACGAGGTACCAACCACAAGTCTCCTAATCACTTTTTTTCTTTTTTCTTTTAATTTTCCCAACTCACGCACTCCACAGTTCACGAGCACATACCATTCACACCCAAATTTGATGTTTGCATATTTTCATTACATTCATCTACTCCAACCACGAGCATCAAATGGATCATCATTTTTGAAAAATAAATAAATATTATAGATTTTATTTCATATAGTATTAGTTTTAGCCACCCTCCCGCATTATGAACCGCCTCTGGGGTTATGTGCTACTTACTCTAATTGTTTTTATGTATTCTAATAACAAACCAGATACAACATATTTTTTTTTATTTGCTAAATTACATAGGAATTTTCGTTTGAAGAAAAATATGTAGCAGTAAGTACATATTTTTGTGTTACAAGGAAAATGTAAATATTTAATTCAACAAAAAAGGAAAAGATAATAAATGATATTAAATAAGAAAAATATAGTGAAAAGAAGACATGATTTAGTTTTTCATTCGGTTTTAAGAGAAATAATTTTCTTTCATTATACTTCGAAAACTGCATCTACGTATATGATTTGGATATATTTTTCTGAAATAATGTTCTTGATTTACAGGTGAAAGTCGCTTGCTGCACAGTGGATATACTAAAACATCTTAGTGCAGAAGAAATCTGTAGAAATCCACAAGGAGGGTCCAAGCAGCGGTTGACCAATCTCGCAAAGCACATTCTAAACCAACAAAGGCAGGTTTTTTTAACCATTAATGCATGGGATTATCTTTCTTTATTAGATTTAAAGAAAGAAGCTACATTTACTTTTCGTTTATTTTCTTTCACTAAATTTTATGATTTTTTTTGTTCCATTTCTGTACTCGTGGAGCAGCTTCTATCCCCTTTATCCACCTGCAGAAGAAGTTCCGTTGGATTTTTCTCTTGCAAATGAAGCTCTACAATTTTCATCGGTTCCAGATATTCTCATACTACCTTCAGACTTGGCTCACTTCGTAAAGGTTAATAAATTAACCAGGATTATTGTAATTAAACGTTAATTCTGCATAAGTAAACAACCTCTCGATTTTTCCTCGAGCAGGTGCTTTCTCTTGGAGAAGGAAACAACGGAGAAGAACAAGACAAGTGCCTTTGCATAAATCCAGGAAGACTTGCCAGAGGTGAAGGAGGGGGTTTCTTTGTAGAGATTAACTATAGTGGTAACCCTGATTCATCGACTGCTTCAATCATTCGCATATAGGCCGCCCTGAACCATAACTCTGGTTAAGGTTAGCTATGTTTTTTTTTTCTTTTCTTTTAGCAAACGAAAAACTCAAATATACTGAGAGCATTTCTAGTTTTGAGGATCGAACTCGTGTCAGAGTATTGGTGAAAGTGATAACTGCCTAGAGATCTGGTGGCGGGATTTGCTCTTTGAACTGTTGTGTAAAATATATCTGCAGTTTAGTCAGGCTGCCGAAATTTTCTTTGTAATGATCATTCACATTGATATCGTATGTAGTGCAAGAGGTCGGTCAAGAAATATGCGATGCTGTACTCGAGTACTATGTTTTGGAAGGGCGTGTTTGGAGAAGCCAGATCGAGTTGGATTATATTACTGTGTTTTTTAGGCTTCCGAAAAAGTGTTGAAGATATTGATAAGACGAGTGCAGGAATGCAGTGGAATATAGACACGAGACAGCTTCAAGCTTCGGACCTGTATTTGTTGTAATGTAAATGCAGGTAATTCGTGTTGACGAAAAAATAAATTTTAAATATTTTTTTTTTTTTTTTGGAAAAGATAAATCAAAATACTTTAGAATTACACAAGCCTCTAATGAAACGAGCAATAAACAATTAAAAGCAGTACACGAAAGAAACGATGGAGAGCTCGAGACAAGACGACGAATTGAAACAACTATTTCGGACGATAATACCCCAAAACAGAGTACACCGTTTGAATTGCAGCAAGGGTGAAAAGGAGAACTCCAGCAATGATGGACACAACAGCCCACGGACTTCTAAAGTAAGTCCGGGCAAAATCTGACCCCCACTCGTGCAGTCTCTTCCGGAGGCGGCGGCTCAGCTTTCTACTCACCTGCATGTATACAATGTCCAAATCGCTGTCCGGGTCCACCACAATGTCCGTATGGAGCAATTTGAATAACTTAATAATGTCTTTATCACTGCCGAGAGCGTTGTAGATGATCCCACACGAGCGTAGCAGGCTAACGTCTTTTGGGTCCCTAAGAAGGTTGCCAAGAAAAACACGTACGAGGAAACCTCATTCCCGGCGCCTGTGTGGAACCGCTCGAAGGCTATAAGGTTCAGAAGCTCGAGTTTTGTTTCGGCATTTATGAAGAGCATCGGAAGTCTAAGGGTGTTTCCCTCGAACGAGATATCCCTGAGGCTCATAATTATACTCCTCTCGAATCTAATTCCAGCCTCACTAAGTTCCGAGGCCGAGTGAATCTCGCCACTTACTTCACCTCCTTGATGTCCATGTGCATGGTGGGTTCTCATCGTCCGCGGTTCATTAAGGAGGCTCTTTCGGCACACATCTAGTATGTGCAAACATTTTCCCACACGCATGTTTCTTGGACCGGGGTGAAAGAACCTGATTATGAGCCTATTCATCTGATATTCATCATGCGGCTCAACTACACTAACACAAACTATCGTCATTCATCGTTTTCTTAGGGATGTGATAAACGTCGTTCGAGCTTTAATAATACAATTTCGACTTCAAACGTGATTTTGATCATTTTTTATTCTTGATTTTGCAAAACCCGAAAATAGAATTTGTAGTATTCTGAGTTGGTTTTCTAATCCAACTTGAATCACCAAAATTGGATGTCGGACGAGAAAGATATACATGAATCAATGGATATTGGCCACAACTTTGATGTATTGAGGTATCTAAATTCAAAATGTGACTCATTCATGCATAACTTTGTCGCACGACATCCAATCCAGCGGATTTAAGTTGAATTAGAAAACTAACTCAAAGGACTACAATTTTCATGTTTCGAATTTTGCCAAAAGCAAAATAGAAATGTGTCAAAATCAGGTTCGAAGTCAAAACAGTATTAGTAAAATTGAAACGACATTTAACATTTCAGTTTTCTTATGTAGATTATTGCATTTAGTACCCTTGTGTTATATCGAACCGCTAAAAAATAAATTATAAATTCATCAAACTAGAAGAAAGAGAACATACCGACGACCTTGGAATTTTTTTTTCTCAACCTGGAGTAGCTTGACTAAAACCAAAAGGGGCACCTGATTTTCGAGCAACAACATGTCACACCTAAGAAACGGCAACACGTAGAGCAGCCCGTGGCTGCTGAAAACGGGATCGTTGGGAGCATAGCCTGCGTCAAGTCCAGAAGAGCCCATTCGAAGCACTTCAAGAATGAAACACCCGTCGAGAATCATCAACCTCAAGAAGTCGGGCGCGTTGTTCAACCACTTAGGATCCAGCGCATCGTACGCGTCTCTCAAATCTTGCACCACGTGATTGAGAGCTTCTAAATAGGCTTCTATTGGGACCGACGATCTCTTGATGAAGTGAACGAGAGCCCTCTCCTTGTGATCCTCCATTGGCTTGAGGTGGGGCTCGCCGTGATGATAAGGGCCGATGGACACTATTTGAGGCTTGTATGACTTGCTGTCTAGATCGATCACGCGAGGTGGTAGCTTGTAGATCGATCGTTTCTTCCATTGCTCGATTTCTTGGGAAAAATCGGGCATGTTTTCGATTTTGTCTTTTATTGCAATAATCCAATTAGGATCCCCCATTATCATAACTATTTTTTTTTCTAGGTGATGTATTTGATTCGTGCAATGGTAGTAATGTATGTGTGCATGCTTGATTTATTTCTTTAGTGGGGAGATGTAAGAAGTTTAATAGGAAGATGTTAGTAAAGCTTTAACTTTGGAGATAGGAGAATGTATACTTTGCTTACTCTTTTTTTTAATCAATTATACTTTGCTTACTCATTGAACCAAGTGTTCTAAGACAACATCTTTGTCATTAGCACGTATAGCATGGCTAAGTGGTGCACGACGAGAAGCGCGTCGCTCGTTACTAAGACCGCGTAGTGCAAGAGGTCGGTCAAGAAATAAGCGATGAATTGTATTCGAATGCTGTGTTTTGGAAGGGCGTGTTAGGCGAAGCGAGATCGAGTTGGATTATATTACCGTGTTTTGAGGTTTCGAGAAAGAGTGTTGAAGATATTGATAAGACGAGTGCAGGAGTGCCGTGAGATAGACACGAGACAACTCGAAGCTTCGAGCATAGTTGAATTAGAAAAACTGTATCAAGAGTTTCTATTAATATATCCTTCTGCCCATTTCATAGCTGGCAAATTGACCGGACGGACGCAAAAAAGAACTGCACTAAAAATGCTGGTAATGAACTCGGAAATTCGGCAAGTATCACAAAAAAAACATACATGTCTTCACTATATTATTTCAAAAACTATCTTTACTCCAAAACTTAACACAAAACACGTACGAGAAAAGTCGGAGTTTTGGTTGAATAATTCTTCCCATTTGCCGAAGGACAAAGTTAACAGAAGCCTCTCACATGACCATACCTCCATCAATTGTTAATACCTGATAGATTAATGCAAGTTAATTAATACACTCTAATCACGAAACAAAAGATGAAATGCACCGAGTGGTGTTCAGTTCGTCGAAAGTTAAATATATGACCTAAAATTTAAAAAAAAAAAAAAAGAAAAAAAGAAAAAAAAAAAAAAAGACACAGTAGTTATAAATTATAATAATACCTGTCCAGTGATATAAGCGGCGGCGGGATTAAGGGCCAAGAACTCAATCAGCCCAGCTACCTCCTCCGGTTGGCCATACCTCCCTGAAATTTCACATTAGCAAGACACTTATTACTATATAATAAATAAAAACATTAATTTTTCAGAAATTCTGAATAATGCAACGTCACTAATTAACTCGAATATATGCAGATTAAATGCTCAAGAAGATGTTATTTTTATTTTGTATTTTTATTTTTTACGATTGATAAGAAAATAACGAACCCAATGGGATGGCCTCCAATATCTTCTTCTCAAAGTCTCCACCAAGCTTAGCAGTCATATCAGAAGCGATAAATCCAGGAGCAACAGCGTTTACCTGTCGATATAAGCCTCTGTTTAATTTCAATTTTTTTTTTTTAATTACTAGCACAAGCTATTCTTGGCAGTAGTTATGCCACTAAATAAGATAAATAGATCGAGCAAACTCACGGTAATGTTTCTGCTCGAGTATTCCTTGGCAACTGTCTTGGTTAATCCAATTACTCCAGCTTTTGCTGCACTGTAATTGGCTTGCCCAACATTGCCCACAAGACCAACAACCGATGTGATGTTAATTATCCTTCCCTAAAAAGTCAAAATTGACGTTCGATTAGAATCCCAAAACCAAAACAAAGAAACAGTCGTCCAAATAAACTGTAGTGACGTTAGCAATTTCTCCGATTCTTAGGATAATAAGATTCGATAGTCACATAATCTTCCAAACTTTTAGAAACGGATACCTTTTTCTTCTTCATCATTATTTTGGCAGCTGCCTGCAGAGAATAAACATCTCATTATTAAATTATAATAAACTTAAATTAGGCATTAATATCTGCATATAGAAACTTAGAGAAATTGACCTGTGTGCATAGGAACACGCCAGTAAGGTTTAGATCGATGACTTCTTGCCACTGAGACATCTTCATTCTCATCAACAAACCATCCCTCGTAATTCCTGAAATTTTTCTCATATTTAAAAAAAAAAGAAAACAACCCTAAAAATGGATTTGCAGTAAAAGAAGGTTGAGATTTCGGCTAACCTGCATTATTGATCAAAACGTCTACTGTTCCCCATGCCTCAATTGCCTTCAAATTTCACAATAATAAATCATTCAGACAGTGATATTTACACAACACAGCGAAAATTAACCGAACTAGAGATTTAAGCTCACAGCTTTCATCATTGAGTTAACATCTGCTTCTTTTGATACATCTCCACCAAAAGTAAGGGCCTGGCCACCAGACGCTTCTATCTGCAATAAGTATAACAAATATTAGGAACGGCCAAAGGTTTTTTTTTTTTTTTATGACTAAAATGTAGATGATATCGTTTTACGAATTTCTCAGTTTCATTTCAACGTAGCAATACTGTAGTTTTATAATGATTGACAGCATCGGTCAGTGCTTAGCTTCGAGTGCATGTGTGCCACATTGACGAGAATTGGGGGGTGGTGCAAGGGATTCAATACTTGTGGAATAGCAACAATCAAGACATAATAAACTGAATTACTCTGAAAATTGAATTTCTATATGTAGCTAATAGAATGAATCGGCAATAACCAGGGCAATTCTACATTCATAACGCTCACCAAAAACCTTACCATAGTTATTAACAGATTAAGGGTCAGTCAGTTCCCAAAATGACTGAAATAAAATATCGAAACTGCGTGTTCGCGTTATGTACGAAAATGGTTTCAATATACCCATCATTCATTTCAAATTACGGCGATTTACCTCTTTGCAAACTTCTTCTGCCTCCTTTGATGACCTTGCATAATTAACCAGAACCTGCAACAGAAAATCGACAATCAAGTAGAGCATCAGTAAAGATGAAACAGAAGCTTCACAGTAGTAATCACATCTATATCCACTGGCTCCAGTTCTAGTCGAGAACTACAACATGGTTATGTCTATTCATTTACTCATTTATCAGATGGAAAGCTCAAAAGTGTCTACAACAAAGAACCTGAACAACGAAATAACGGAAAAGAAGATCCGGTGTACCTTGTAAGTATTTCAAAAACTAGATTCATAATCTAGAAAATTCATTTATAATCAATAAATTCTATTACAAAGGTCAATACCTTTATTACAACTATTCCATTAAACAGCATATATATGAGAATCCCATTAAAAAGCCAGTTCGGGCTGATTAATCGGATTTTAATATTATTGATCAATTTGAGCATATATGCATGATTTTTTCTCATTATCCAAGCAATTCCCCCAAAAAAAACATAGTTCGTATAAACGAGCAACCAAATAATAGCCATTTTATCTGGCACCTCTAGTTACTTATTACACTTATTTTTAAACTAAAATTTTATCGTATGGAAGTAAAGAATCAAACCTTGCAACCAGCTTTCCCTAGAGCCAAAGCAACAGCTTTGCCGATACCTCTTGAGGCGCCGGTGACAACAACAACAGGAGCTTCGACAATCTGTGCTGCTTCAGTACTCGCTTGTTCGACTGTTGCAACCTGAGCCTTTATGCCTGCGCATACAGTTCAATCAAACACAAAAACCGAACGCAAACAACGATGACAACAATTTCCGAAATCGTGCAATAATCTACTGTTTTCTAGACCAGTCTTTTTCCTGATTACCATTTACCACCAAATTAATAGTCCATTTCTCCATATGTCACAATTACAACTAAAAAATAAATTTCTGTAACAACAGCTACTATACCCTTAAAATGCAATAACACCGTAATTAAAAAATAGAGAAATCGGGATGAATAATTGCCCAACTCGGGAATCCAAACAAGTAGCATAAGAAACCTCGTTAACTCAGTAACATCGAGTATCAAAAAGCAACAAGTCCAAGCTTTTTAATTGAATACCTGAGGGAGAAACGGAGCTCAGGGATCTGCATTGCAAATTGATCGACGCCGGAAGCTTCACCGGCGACGAGAGCTGCCTGAAATTGGCGAACCTGCGGTGGGAAACGCCGGCGGATTTGAAAGCAACAACGGCGGATCCAGCGGCGGAGGCGGCGGCCATTCCGATGAGTGTGGAGGGGCGGAGGAGAAGACGAGAAGAAATGAGAGTCGCCACTGAGGAATAACGTCGAACACAAAGAGGGCTTTAAATTAAAATTATAAAAAAAGGTGAAGAAATAGAGCTTCGGAAATTCCGAGGAGGCAAAGTGAGTGTGGGCGATGACTACAATGTTCTATTTGTTTTGGGTGGTTGAGATTTTATTTTCCCTCAATTTAAATTAAATTACTCCTCAAACTATAATATAATAGGGTAAAATTATGGCCTGCTATATCAGGTACTGATAAATTACGAAAAAATCCCTCTTGTATTTAGGTAATTACAATCGTCATTTAATTATGAATTTTCTTACACGTTTACTTTTATGGAGTCAAATTCAACGTAATCTCCTAGATTCAGTGGAATGTTAATTTAGTTTGTACTCGTTTTGTGCAAAAATGATGTTTCTGATGCACCGCAATCTGATGTTTACTGGCCAAGAGATACATCGTATGATAATTTTGTTTTCAATGTGGAGTTCGAATAGAGTAAAACGTGTTCAAACTGGAAAATATTCCACATAATCTAGAAGATTCCGCTAAATTTGACACCACAATGGTGGAATTGTAAGAATATTCATTAGTTGATGGGTGATTATAATTACCCTAACATGATGGATTTTATCGTAATTTGACCTTACCTCATTGGGTAGCTGTACTTTATCCAATATAATATAGATAGTTCGAGGTTTTTTGTTCTTATAATTTTAAAAGTTTTGGGTAAATTTAATTTAGTTCTACATTTGATCCCATTTTTTTTATTAAATTGTTGTGAAAATAGAAATTTGATTTTTTTTTATTAAATACACGTGATGAAGTACATTTTTTTACGGTATCCTAGATGCTACAGTACCTTGTGTTAAATGTACTGAATATTATTTTATACTCTAAGGCCCCGTTTGGTTGCCAAAATAAGCCATGATTAACTAAATAGTTGGACTTAATTTGATGTTTGGTATCCTCAATAACTTGCCGGGTCGACCCGCCAAAATTATATAATCATGGCTTATCTTGCCTTATCTTGGCTTATCTTGCCTTTTAATGAGTTTTTTTTGTTGCACCTTTCAAGCTCCAATAAAATAATTGGGTCTCATTAGATTATTTAATCTTATCTTGGCTAATCTTATCTTGCCAACCAAACGGGGCCTTATTCTACGTATATATGAGTGCCGATGTGTGTAAAATATGTATCGAAATTGGTGAAATATAATTTGGTGAGGGTGAAATTGAATGAGTGTAGCATAAAACAATCTTGATATGTCGATTTTTTTGCTACTAAAATTTCACTTAAACAAGCGCGAGAGAATATTAGAATTGTATAACTATTATGGTATGTATACAGGTTGTTGGAGTAAATTAGATATACACTATTAGGATGATCACACAATAAAATCGTTAAATTCGATAATACCAAATTGAGTAGTTACATAACTACCAACAAAATTCATAAAAATGTAATTATAGTTACATTAATATATTTTTTTAAGTAAAGAAGTATTAATCTATAAATTAATAAACTCGGGACCGACAAAATTCTATTAATTTATCGAAATATTAAATTATCGAGCTAATAATTTAATACGTTTTTACGAATTCGAACCCTAAAAAGTTATTATTTTAACGAGCTTATTAATTTATCAAAGTTCTGTTGTATTGAAATTAGTATTACATGTATTATAATATGTATAGTACATAATCTATTAAAATTTAATTTTCACAAAAAAAATATAAAATGAAGAGTCAATTGCATTTTAATGCGGCACCGTTCTGTATTTACGGAATATTTAGTTTCGGCAGCATTGGATGTTCACAAATTCGGGTGGATTCCGATCCGTTCTGAGCCGGTTCGAGCCAATTCACGGTTCTAATTTATTACTTTTTGTTTTTGTTTCGGCAGGTTATACGGTTCAATCAGCCGATTTAGACAGATCAACCTGCAATTTTCAGCCGTAGTTACTGATCTTCAAATGTCAAACAAACAATCACGAATGTTGATTTTTTTCTTTTCTTCTAAAGATAAGCAAAAAATAACGAACTTGGATTCACAGGTTCAAGAGATATGGACCAATAATCTTGTCGTTGAAACACGGTTCCGACTCGTAAACCAACCGACGGAGTTAGTTATAAGTCCGTAGAAATAGTCTACAAGCCGGTCTAGTCCAGGTTTAGGTAACCCACCTAAACCACATTTCACCATTTACTACGTTATTAAAATTTAAAAGAACTTAAAAACAAAGGACGATTCGGCCGAGTCTAATACAACATACTATAAATCATAGATGCACATTATTGATATATTTAAAATACAACATACTCAAATTGCGTGTTAGTGAGTTTTCAATAGGAAATGAAATATCATTTAAAAAAAAATTATCTTGTTATGCTTGAGTCAATAGGTATTGTCTAGGGGGTGTACGAGTCGAGCTCGAGCTCGAGTCCATTTTGTCGAGTTTAAGGCCAAGCTCATTTTGGATTTTTTTCTATTTTTTTTATTATTTTATTATTTTTATAACTATTACTTTTTTATTATTACAAATTATTTAGATGATAATAAAAAAAATTACAAAAATAAACAATAAATTGTAATTATATATATATATATTTTCAATATTTATTTGTTTTTTATATTATTTATATAATATTTTATATTATAATATATTATTTAAATAAAATATAATATATATATATATATATATAAATAAAGCTCGTGTGCTCACGACCAACTAAAAAAAGCTCGAGTTCGAGTTTGAACTTTTTCGAGCCGGTTTATCGAGCTCACGAACCGTCTCAACTCGTTTACCATGCACCCCTAGTCTAGCCAACCATGAATATGGTTGAGGGCATAGCCGTATCCACCTTCTCTAGTGGCTTAATATATAATGATGTAGCGCTAACAAAATTTTCGTCCATACAACATATTAAATACTATATTTTAACTGCAAAATTATGAATCTGTAAAATATTAATAAATGCGAGACAGAAAAAATGGGAACAAATAATTACTCAAACGAAAGTGGATTAGAATATTCGAGAATTCCCTAATTGTTCTCTCTTATTCTAAAACTGATTCACGACTTAGAAGCTTGTTCTTGAATGAACAATATATATATATATATATATATATATATATATATATATACATCAAATTCAAATATTTTATGACTTTGCGGTAGAGGATCGAGACTTGAGCTTGAGAGCTTGATTTGTATCTATGTGAGTCTGTATTTGCATGTAGCCAAGACCTTCTTTTATAGGCACGAGCTAAGATTTCGACTTATAGCATGGGCCGGTGGACTTGGAAATTTGGCTTTTGATTTATTTGGGCTAAATATGAGCCCAATCGGTTAATCCAAAAAAAAAAAGAATTAATTACTTATTTTTGGATTAAACAATTTAACACATTTGTAAAGTTCAAATATATTGTGGACTTTGATTTGAGACTCAATTAATAACCGATTTATTTACCCCATTAATCGGTGATTTTTTTCCGAAATTTCGGTGTCAACACTATATACTTTTTATTATTGTTATTATTATGTTTAGTTTAAGAGATGAATAAATCATAATGTTTCTTGAGAATTTTGCTTACACGAAAATGTTGCAATAAAGGAAAAATATTCATGAAACATATACACTAATATTTAAAAACCAAATATGAACCAAATCATAAAACATGCTTAGGGCTCGTTTGATAGCATTGAGTACTTAATGTTGAATGTTGAATAAATATCTGAATAGCCAAGAGGTGAGTCTGAATGCTGAATGCTGAACAATTAAGTCCGATAACTGAATGTCAGTAACGTCTGAATACTATTATTTTCCTATTATACCCTTATTCAATGCTGAAACATTATTTATTAATTAAATTTAATTAGAATATGAATAATTTTTTTTGAATATGATTTACTTAATTAATAAAATATTAAAATCTTGATAGACATTAAACATTTGGATGTAAATAATATTAAATATTTAGCATAAATAAAATATAAATTTTAATTTCAAACAACTAATAAAAGCAACCCTTACAAATAAAAGTAGCTAAAGCATGAAAATACATTAAAATTGAAATTAACCTAAAATTTTAAGTTGCTATAATGAGCATAATTTTTTTAATTAATTCTATTTTTGATATGAAAGTTTTTAACTAAAATATCAAATATAAAGTGTTATATTACATTAGGAGTTGAACTAATACAAACGATTTAATATAATATACTTATAGTGGAAAATAAAAGATGTTGACAGTGGTGCACTGACCGCTGTAGTACAAAATCTCCATTGGGATATACTCGTTCAAAATTCATTCAATTTTGCCTCTGGATGAATAAGTCACAATTTCTTTTCTGAATCAATAAGCGGTAAACCGCTTCATTCAGCTATCAATACCAAACATCCTTAATAAGCTAGGCACTGACCGAATAAGTAATTGCTGCCAATCAGCAGTCATTCAGTGCTATCAAACACGCCATTAGTCTAAACTCCATTGGAAAACGAGGGATACGAAAGAATCGAAAACTAAAGGTGAAATCACATATGAATCCATAACTAAAACTTTTGAATCACATATATGGAATTCGATCTTCCAAAAAACACGTACCATTCTGTCAACGGGATGTCATGATATATCCTCTTTCTTTTTTCTTTGTTGTTGTTGTTCGAGTCATTTCAGTTTTTCTACTACTAAACCATAGTTTTTTTAGCCCCCCAAGAAAAAACAGAAAAAGAAATCGATAACTAAAAGTTACCTTCAACATTTTAGTATAACGAAATTCAAACATTCGAATTAGGAAAACTCGGACCGTTGAAATAAGGGTTAATGACATTTTTGCCGTTGCACTCTACCACATTTTCCACATTACCTTCACACCAAAGAAAGTTGTATGTTTGTACTAAATTTCATGACTTGAAGCACCGATTATTAAAACGGTCATTTTCTTAAATTGGGAAGTTCGTATGTTCGACGCCAAATTCAAAAGAATTTATATTTATAATATATCATAGTACAACAATTTTTTTTTTTTTTTTTTTTTTTTTTTTTTGTGTTTGCTTGCTTATTCGGAACACTATTTGATTCTTTGAAGTAAAGAAACTAATAATAATTGTATATTCCAAGTAGCAATATTGGGCAAGTTTTTTAGCATAAGTAATATGATAATTAAACATATGTACGAAGAAAGAAAGACAACTGTTTTATCCATTAAGATGACCTGGCTTTCATGCATTACCAACCAATTAAGAAAAATACATCATTTATAGTTATCTATGACAAATATTATCATCAATTATTATAATAATATGTTCATAGTCTAGTTGTTGGATTGTGGTCCATTAAACTTAAAAAAAACAAATTATTATGTCTTTTTAATTGGCTTTGGTGGTCACCACTTCTGACAAGAAAATTAAGTTGGTGTTTGCGAAAGCTTATTTAAAAACGAGAATTAGTAATTATGAGTTGAGCTGAAATTAAGTGTTTATTTTATATAAAATTAGCTGAAAATATAAAAAAAATGCATTTTCTAAGGTTATAATCTCTAGAATGGTTACCAAATTTTGTAGAAGTCCCATTCACTAATGTTTGACGCAGTCCCGAATTTTCAGTTTTTGCCGATTTCAATATTTTTTTTATTCAATTTTCTAAAATTTTGATTTTTTAAATTATAGAAGTTATACTTATAATATCAATATTATAAATAGAACCCACCACCACTACTACGTAAGTTTTGTCAGGTTATTTTATATTAGCGATTGATAAAGAAACAAAATATCCTAATTTTGCCGACCTGCATATATAAAGAAAAGTCGAATTTGGAACAATTTCTTATAATTTATTTTTTTCAAAACTCTTATTTTTAATAATTTAAAATTTCCTTTTTTCGGAACGTAAATTTCGATTCGATTTTTTTCCTTTCTTAATCCTAGTGTGATGATAAACCTATGGATCATAAAGAGTTGACTATTGCCTTGATTAATTCTTGATGTAATAATATTTCTATACACTTGTATATGTGTTTAATTTGATTATGAACCAACTAACCGAATCGAACAAGAATCAAAATCAAGTAGCTTAATTTTTATTTTTTAATGCATATTTTATAATTAAGTCAAAAATTAAAATGTATGTATAAATATATAAATTTCAACATTATTTTATTAATTATTGTTTTTAATTATGTTTGACGATTCTCATTTTCAAAGCATACGCACTCATTCTGAACTTTACTCGGCCGTCGATTTCATTTTTTTTTTTTTTTTGCAAGTATTAAAATTAATATCTAAGATGGGATTAATAAAAATATTGAAATAATAAGGCATATATATATATATATATTTATCAAAATAATAAAAATAAAAATAGGTGAATGCAAAAGTTAAAGGCAAGTGAGCCCCATTATTGCATTCCTTCAAATACCAACCAATTTATATGCCATACCTACTTTGATGAATCGCACACAATATGTTATCCCCTAATTCACCAAATTACAATAACCAAACCACTCCTTAATGTTTCAGTTGTACTAAACCTTTTTTTTTTTTTTTTTTTTAAATTTATTAAATTTCATTTATTGATAACAAAACACGGAGTTATTAGGAATGTAATCCAGTAATAGGTTATGCTCTCTTACTCTATCAACTAGATCACTTAATGCAAACTTGTTTTTTACTTTTTTTTTATTTATTGTTGTCAATTTCACTTCTCGAAAAAAAGGAGTAGAAAAAAAGGATATTACGGTCATCCCTGAAATAAGGTCAAATTACAAAAAATCCTTTATGTTTGAGTAATTACAGACACTCCCTGAACTATGAATTTTCATACAAATCCACCATTGCGGTGCCAAATTTAGCGGAATCTTCCCCAATTTGTACCCGTTTTACCGAATTCGAGCTCCACACTTTGAAACTAAGATGATCATAAGATGCGTCTCTCGTCTTGTAAATATATCAGATTGTGGTGTATCAGAAACTGCATTTTTGCACAAAACGAGTACAAACTAAAGAACATTCCATATAATCTAGAAGACTACGTTGAATTTGACACCGTAAGGGTAGACGTGTATAAAGATTCACAGTCGAGGGGCGGCTGTAATTACTCAAACAAGAGGGGTATTTTCGTAATTTACTAAAAAATATGAAATGAAAATGAATTTATTAAAACTGAAATGATTTGTGCAGGCACAAATT